CTTTTAAAATGGATTGACTAATCTAGGTAGGAAGACATGAATACATTTTTCTTAAATCTTTACCTTAAATTGATATTTTGAATAACCTCAGAACACATTTAGAATGTGTTTTCTAGAAATGCATGTATTACTACAGAGAAATAACTTTTTGGATCATTTTCATTATATGAGTAGTATCAGCATTTGCTCAAGTATATCACTATTTGATCTTACTTACCAGTGCTCATTTAAATCACTGGAAGGTTACAATCCTACTTAATAATCATGGGTATTTGAGAAATCTGGGTACCACATAAAAATGAACATCAGGAAATACATTTGATATTTAAATTATTTCAATTGCTATAGAGTAGGTTTTGTTAAGCTTTTTCTTAAATTGCTAGATAGTAAATATTTAGGTTTTGAAGGCCATATGGTCTTGTTGCACCTGCTAGATTCTTCTTCAAGCAGCTGTAGGCAATATGTAAAACAAATTTTTACCTGTATGGTTGGGTGCGGTGGCTCACACCTGTAATACCAGCACTTTGGGAGGCTGAGGTGGGCAACTCACTTTAGGTCAGTAGTTCAAGACCATTCTGAGCAACATGGCAAACTCTGTCTCTACAAAAAATACAAAAATTAGTTAATTGTGATGGGGCACACTTGTAGTCCCAGCTTCTTGGGAGCCTGAGGTGGGTGGATCACTTGAGCCTGGGCAGTCAAGGCTGCAGGGAGACGAGATCATACTACTGCACCACAGCCTGGGCAATAGAGTGAGACCCTGTCTCAAAAAACAAACACCCCTAAACAAATGAGTATGGCTGTGTTCACATAATACTTTATTTTCAAAGCAGGTCAAGCTGGAGTTGGCACATGGGCTGTAGTTTGCTGACCTTTGCCCTAGAACAAGTATTAATATGTATTAAGTGCCCAACTCCAGTAAAGATTATGTAGCAGTTTTAAAAAGAACTCCATTTTAGTGGCCTAGCACTGTGGCTCATACCTGTAATCCTAGCACTTTGGAAGGCTGAGGTGGGAGGATCGCTTGAGTCCTGGAGTTCAAAACCAGCCTGGGCAACATAAAGACATTCTGTTTCTATAAGAAATTAAATAAAAAATAAGTAAATAAAAAATTTAAAAAGAGAATCCCATTTTAAAGTTTTGGTTATTTTAAAATTTATTTTATTTGTTGCTAGCTAATGCACTCACATAATTCAAAGTCCAAAATGCACACAGAGAAATACTTTATCCCCACCATATCACCAGCTACCCATTCCCTAGAGTCAGCCTTTATCAGTTTATTATATATCCTTCCAAAAACATTCTTTGGCTAAATACACAGTAGGAAATGTATTTTCTCTTTTTAAAAATTTTTTGGTAAAATACACATAACAGTAAAAATTACCCTTTTTAGGCCTGGTATGGTGGCTCACGCCACCATGGGAGGTGGGTGGGAGGCCAGGGTGGGTGGATCACCTGAGGTCGGGAGTTCGAGACCAGCGTGACCAACATGGAAAATGCCCGTGTCTAATAAAAATACAAAATTAGCGGGGTGTGGTGGCACATGCCTGTAATCCCAGCTACTCAGGAGGCTGAGGCAGGAGAATTGCTTGAACGTGGGAGGTGGAGGTTGTGGTGAGCCGACATTGTGTCATGGTACTCTAGCCTTGGCAACAAGAGTGAAACTCCGTCTCAAAAAAAAGTTACCCTTTTTCTTTTTCTTTTTTTTCTTTTTTGAGGCAGAGTCTTGCTTTGTCACCCAGGCTAGAGGACAGTGGCATAATCACAGCTCATGGTGGCCTCCAGCTCCTGGTGTCAAGGCCACCTTAACCTCCTGAGTAGCTGGGACTACATGCACACACCATCACACCCTGCTAATTTCTTTAACTTTTTGTATGTTTCTCAGGCTGGTCTCAAACTCCTGGCCTCAAATGATCCTTCCTCCTCGGCCTCCCAAAGCACTGGACCCTGCCCTGCCTAAAAGTTACCATTATAACCATTTTTAAGCATACAAGTCAGTGATATTAAATACATTCACATTGCTTTGCAACCATCTCTTTTTTGTCGAGCTGCAATTACATTTTATATATAGTATTTTCAACATCTTTTTTCATTTAGCAATATGTAAGTTAAAAACCATTTTATTTTCTGCATAATGGTCGGATCATGTTTTGTTTTATTTATTTATTTATTTTTGATGAAACCTTGCTCTGTCACCCGGGTTGGAATTGAGTGGTGCTTTCTCAGCTCACTGCAACCTCCTTCTTCCGGGTTCAAGCAATTCTCCTGTCTCAGCTTCCTGAGTAGCTGGGACTATAGGTGCGCACCACCACGCCCAGCTAATTTTTTGTATTTTTTGTAGAGGTGGGGTCTCACCATGTTGGCCAGTCTGACCTCAGGCCACTAACTCGTGATTTTAGGAGATCTGTCCACCTTGGCTTCCAAAAGTGCTGGGACTATAGGCGAGAGCCACCATGCCCAGCTCATTTTTTTTTAAGCTCTATAAATACTTGATCCACCTGCAATTTTTCCAGGTATATAGTGAGGACTATGGCTCCCCATTGTACTGATACCATGCCTCACTGAAGTGCCACCTTTATTTACTTCATTTCTAAATGTATTTGAATCTTTCTCTGGTTTTGAAGAAACCATCTCTCTTCCATCGATTCATCTGTCTATATATTTGCTTGTACAATTCTATTTTAATTATCGTACCTTTATAATTTTTATAATTTTAAAATATCTGGTAGGGCTAGTGTTTCCATATTGCCCTTTCTTTTCCACATATTTCCTGGCTGTTAATTTTAGAATCTTTTCTAGTTATTAATTTATTATTTTAGTGAGACTAGGTTTTGTTCTGTTTTGTTTTCCCTTTGAGATGGAGTCTTGCTCTGTCACCCAGGCTGGAGTGCAGTAGCACAGTCTCAGCTCAGTGTAACCTCCACCTTCCAGGTTTAAGCGACTCTGAACCTGCCTCAGCCTCCTGAGTAGCTGGGATTATCGATGCCTGCCACCATACCTCCCTAATATTTGTATTTTTAGTGGAGATAGGATTTCACTCTGTTGACCAGACTGGTCTTGAACTTCTGACCTCAAGTGATCCACCCGCCATGGCCTCCCAGAGTACTGGGATTACAGGCATGAGCCACTGTACCTGGCCGGAACTATGTTCTTTTTATAAATTAACCCAAGGATAATTGATATCCATATGTTAACTCTTGGTGTCCAGAAATAGGGTGCACTGTACCATTGAGTTAAGTCTGTGTTCTTCAAATAGTATTTACATTTTTTTTTCAGAGAGGCCTAATATGCGTATGTTTATATTTAGGTATTTTATCTTTTAGTTTGTTTATTATTCTTATTCATTTCTTAATTTAAACTTAAAGGAATAATGTAGTTTAGCCACACCCACATGAAAAAAGTTATCATTGGCTCGGCACAGTGGCTCACACCTGTGATCCCAACACTTTGGAGTGCCAACGTGGGCAGATCACAAGATTAGGAGATCAAGACCATCCTGGCTAACACAGTGAAACCCAAAAAATTAGCTGGGTGTGGTGGCACACACCTGTAGTCCCAGCTACTTGGGAAGCTGAGGCAGGAGAATTGCTTGAATTGGGAGGCGGAGGTTGCAGTGAACCAAGATTCCACCACTGCACTCCAGCCTGGGCGACAGAGCGAGACTCTGCCTCAAAAAATAAAAATAGAAAGAAAAAAAAGTTATTTTGAAACTGAACTGTATTTGATTCATTTTTGGTGAATCCTGGTTTTCAAAATACAAACCTGTATTCATTGGTAAGACCGACTTTTTAAAATTATTGGTTTGTTTTCTGCTGCTAACCGCCTTTTTATCACTTTACATTTCTTCTCTGAGCCCTAGTTTCCTCATCTGTAAATCAAAGAATCTAAAGCGGATGTCTAAAGCCTATCTTTCCTGCCCATGTTGATTCTGATGTGATTAGTTCCTAGAGGCCTTATATCTGCTCAGGGAAGCCCTCTTGAGGCTGGGACCTATGTGACTCCCAGTGGTTGAGGACCATCTGAGCTCTGGATTTCTAGTCCCTTGTGGCCAGGCTGGTGGGCCACCGTCAAAGTCATGTCAGGAATCTCAGTGTCCACCTTCTAGGGCTAATTTGTTTGGTTGGGTAGTTAAAGGTTTAGGGCCATGGTTTGGAATTGCTTGAAGAGCCCTAGTATCTCCATGGGAGTCTGCCTTTGCTTTTCATTCCCTCCTCTGGACCCTTAGCTCTCAGACCTACTATCCTCAGGCTGTCCACAGGTCTCCCAGTGCTACCCTCATTGTCAACTCCTTCTTTTCTCTCTCTGCCTTCTGGCCCTCTCCCACCTGTCCCCTCAATACTCAGGGAAGGAAGTAGAGCCTAGGGGTTGAAAGAACTGGCTTAGCAACTAGCCAGGCTTATATTCTGATCTGCCTTTGCCTTTCATTAGTTGTGTGATCTTTGGTAAAGTTTAGAGAGAATAAATGCGAAGTACTAACCGTGATTACTCGAGGAGGGGTCTTAGTGAATTGGCTTGCTCGTTAGTGGTTAATAGTATTAATATTCACTTAATACATAAAGCTGTGTGCTGGACTCTATAATAGGAGCTTTTATATATGACCCGTTGAATCTTCACAAACAGCCCCAGGAGGAGGGTAGGAATTATATCCCATTTTGCAGATGGGGAAAGTAAAGCCCAGGAGAAGTGTGCAAAGTCATGCAGCTAATGAGTGTCTGAGCCATAGTTCAAACTCAGCTTTAAGATGTCACTAGTGGGACTGAGGAACTGAATTGTTAGCTTGACTTGTTAATTTCAATACAGAGCCACATGTGGCTAGTGGCTACCATGTTAGCGCAGCTCCAGATGTGTGGCAGCAGCTCAGTTCCGTGTTAAGTCAGGAGGGAGTGCTCCTTCCTCCCCTCTCCTACCCTCCCGTGCCCCTCCCCTCAGCAGGTGGGTCTTGCTTTTGGATGGAGAACACCTTCTGAGTTTAATTTTTGTTGCTTCTTTAATTCTAACAGTGTGAAGAGTGCCAGTGCTGGCAGCATGGGGTCTGCATGGGATTACTGGAAGACAATGTGCCCGAGAAATACACCTGTTATGTTTGCCAAGACCCTCCAGGTAGAGATTCTGGAGTCAGGGATATAACAGTATGTAGCTGTGTCCTTGGCACAGCCGGCTGTGACACATTCTACATGTCTGTGGTCTTCAGACTCATTTCTTCAGCATCGGCTAGACTCCAACTCCTCTCCTCTGATGCTATCCCACCTGGTGGCCAGCTGTCCTGAACTTAGCAATAAAAGCACATGTGTGAAGGGGCCCACCTAGTGGAAGGCCTGACCTTGAGTTAGAACTTTTCCTTTTCTTTAATTATGGTTTAAAAAAAAAAAATGCATGAGGCCAGGCGCAGTGGCTCATGCCCGTAATTCCAGCACTTTGGGAGGCCAAGGCAGGTGGATCACCTGAGGTCAGGAGTTTGAGACCAGCCTGGTCAGTGGGGTGAAACCCTGTCTCTACTAAAAATATAAAAATTAGCTGGGCATGGTGGTAGGCACCTGTAATCCCAGCTCCTCAGGAGGCTGAAACAGGAGAATGGCTTGAACCTGGGAGGCAGAAGTTGCAGTGAGCCAAGATTGCGCCATTGCACTCCAGCCTGGGCGACAAGAGTGAAACTCTGTCTTTAAAAAAAATGCATGAGATCTACTCACAACAAATTTTTAAGTGTACACTACAGTATTGTTATTAACAACTGTAAGCATGATGTTGTACAGCAGATCTCTAGAACTTTCACCCTGTGTGATTGAAGCTCTATAAAAATATGTAGAAACTTCATAAGTTTGAGTGTCATCTTGTGTCGAGGCCATGCTAATCTTCTCTGTATTGTTCCTGTTTCACTGTATGTGCTGCTGAAGTGGCACCTTTTCCTTTTCTTGAGGACTCATAAGTTTGAGCATGTGGGCTCTGTCTTTGGCTTTTGGGGGCTTTTGGAGGGTTAGAAACCTGCCTCTGCCCTCTGTGGCAACGTCTGCCCTTTGTTACATCACTGTTATCCTGAAGGGAGCTATGCCTTTGAGGGGAAGGAAGAAGGCATGGTTGGTCAGAGCCTGTTGCTACCCTAAGCAGTGACTTAATTCCTTAACAGGATCTGTTCCATGGCTATAGGGGTCACCTGTGGCTCTTGGTTGCTCCTTTCCAGAAGGGGTGGATTGTAAATGTGCAGTTCGTTGTCTCGCTTTCCATGGGATGGTGACATTGTCTCCCAGCACCAACTGTAAGATCTCTCCCTCAGCTCTAGTCCCTTGATTCCTTTAGAGCTCTAGACAGTGCTTGGGAGCCTCTGCTTCTGTTATTCCTTTCTGTCCGATGAGGTGGACCTGGTGCTTCTACTCCCGTTTTTGCTTGTGAGGAAGAAATTGATCCTTGAGGATACAGTTGACTTTCCTAACTTCATAAATTGGAATTAGAACTGGTTTGCAGAGCCAGATCTCTTGATTTTGTTGGTTATCTAGGGAGGGACTGGCCACCAGTTCATTTAACAGCAAACAGGTCCCCTCTGGGCCTAAGGACCTCTGTTGTGACACTCTCCTTGTACTAGATGAGTCCATAGACCGAGAAGCATCTGGCTTCACTTGTCCTTTTATCCCAAGGAAAGAATTTAGTCAGAAGATTCTATAGGTAAACAAACACAGGTCCTGAAGGGACGTGACTGACCCAAGATCACACCACCAGCTAATGCCAGACAGGTGATGAGGACCCGTTGTTTCATACCTTTGTCTTGTAAAACAGATAGTGCAGCTCTGAATCCTGCTGCTCTAGGCACTGCCTGCAGCAGCTGCCTCTGAGGTTCTCCCATATAATCCTGAAGGCTCCTTAGCATACCTTTTAAAAATCTTTTTTTCCTACCATGTCTTTCTCTCTACTTTTCCCTCTTTAGAAGTCACACACACCATCTTCATCAAATCCTCTGCACTAACTGAACTTATAAGACTTTAATCGCTGAGATTGTGAATAGTCTTCCTTGAACTGAGCACAGCATGTCTGCCACAGGGTCTGCATTTATAGACTGACTCTGTAGTGGATTGGACTAAAAGTTTAACAGATTCGTTTTTTAAAGGCTACTTAAAGATATTTGTAACAGAATCAAGGTGTATCCCCACCATGTGTATTAGTAAAAGCAGAAAGAGCCCAAAGACCTTAATAGGAATCACCTGAGTTTTTCAGGGTTTGCATAGATATTGACAGTCGAACTGCAGTCTGGTTGAAAGCTTCTCCCTGGGATTCAGGAGTTCGTGTTGACATGTCACATGTGCTTATGTTTTCAGTCCTTCCTAAGGAGCCCTGTACCAAATAGGATGGCTGAAGCCATCCGGTTCCTATGTTGTTCTAATGGATGGGTAACTGGTCCAGAGAAGGGAAGGGGCCTGATCATCTGTTTAGTTAGGTGGTAGCTGTACATTTGCAGGGGGACTTGAGGCATCTTTCCATTCATTTGATAAGCTCATTAAAGATGCCTTTATCCAGGCACTGGGGATACAACCATGAACAAGATAGTTTCTACTCTTTTGGCTCTTAGCCGGGTTGGGGGCCAGAAGCAGAAGTTAAAAGAAGTTAAATAAACAAGACTGTGTTAGGTAGTGATGAATACTGTGACGGGAAGTCAGTAAGATGATTATGAGGTACTCAACTCTGGGAAGTAGCAGAAGCCCCTCTCCAGTCTGGGCAATATGGCAAAACCCTATCTCTACCAAAAAAAAAAAAAAAAAAAAAAAAATTAGCCAGGGCCCAGCTGCTTGGGAGGCTAAGGTGGGAGAATCACCTGAGCCTAGGGAGGTTGAGGCTGCAGTGAGCCGTGAACATGCCACTGCACCCCAGCCTGGGCAACAGTGACACTCTGTCAGAGAAAAAGAAAAAAAAAAGCCTCTCTGAGGAGGTGGTAAGGAGCCAACCCTGCAAAGGCTTGAGGAATAGTGCTGCAGACAGAGGGGATGCTCAAGTGAAGGTCTTGAGGCTGGAAAGAGTTCGATGTGCTTCAGAAACTGAAAGGAGGCCAGTGTAAGGGTGTGGAGAGGAAGGCAGGAAGGAACTGGGTCCTGGGGGCCTCAGTAAGCCAGAGTTAGAGAGTTAGGGCTTTGGGTATTCTCCTGAGAGCAGCAGGAGGCAGTGGAAGGTTTTAAGTCGGGGAGAGAATGATCTGATTTAAATTTAGAGATAATCCAGGTGCCCAGCTCACCTCTGGCCATTCCAGGAAATCAGGATGTATACATGCCCCATTTACTACCTTATCCCCACTACCTAATAGAGAGCCCAGCATATTATAGGTGCCAAGAAAGCGTACACTGGATGAATAAATGAGCAAAATGAATATACTAATCTGTTCTTCCACTAGTTTGTGTGATAATTGTGTGATAGTGATGAAACGGCCTGGGTTTCCTTCAGGCCATGTTTTAACCCTCTTGTCACTGCTGCAGGTCAGAGGCCTGGCTTCAAGTACTGGTATGACAAGGAGTGGCTCAGCAGGGGACATATGCATGGCCTGGCATTTCTAGAAGAGAACTACTCCCATCAAAATGCCAAGAAGATCGTGGCCACCCACCAGCTTCTTGGTGACGTGCAGAGAGTGATTGAGGTTCTGCATGGCCTGCAGCTCAAGATGAGCATCTTGCAGTAAGTGTGGCACCTGCGTGTCGGGAGCATTCTGCTTTGGCCCGGCCTGGGGGCGGAGAAAATGTGAGAAATTGGAAAGCTACCAAAGCAACCATAAAACTGAGTTTGAGACCTTTACTAAAAATTATCAGTTACATGATAAACATTCTTTAAAAATTTTTTTTATTCAGTATTATCTTACATATAATTAAGTTCATCCATTTTAAGAGTTCATTGAATTTTGATATTGTATGCAGCCATGCAGCTACCACCAGAATCAAGATATGGTGTGTATATTTTGGTTTGGTTTTTGTTTAGGTGTACAGTTCTGAGTTTTTTTGTTTGGTTATTTGTTTGTTTGGAGACAGAGTCTCACTCTGCAGCCCAGACTGGAATGCAGTGTTGAGATCTTGGCTCACTGCAGCTTCTGCCTCCTGCGTTCACTTCAGCCTCCTGAGTAGTTGGGACTACAGGTGCACGCCACCATGCCTGGCTAACTTTTTGTATTTCCCTCCCTTTTTAAGGCTGAATTATACTCCTTTTATGTGTATGCCACATTTTGTTTATCCCTTTTTTCTTTTTTTGGAGACAGAGTCTCACTCTGTTGCCCAGGCTGGAGTACAGTGGCACCATCTTGGCTCACTGCAACCTCTCCCCACTGGGTTCAAGCAATTTTCCTGCCTCAGCCTCCCAAGTAGCTGGGACTACAGATGCATGCCACTATGCTTGGCTAATTTTTGTATTTTGGTAGAGACAGGGTTTCACCGTGTTGTCCAGGCTGGTCGCAAACTCCTGAGCTCAGGCAATTCACCCCCCTCCCAAACAGCTGGGGTTACAGGTGTGAGCCACCACACCCAGCCTTGTTTATCCTTTTCATGCTAAATATTCCTTTTCTTTTTGTTTTCTTTTTAAAGAAACGGAGATGTGGTTTTGCTTTGTTGCCCAGACTGGAATGCAGTGGCTACTTATAGGCAGGATCATCACACACTGCTACCTCAAATTCTTGGGCTCAAGCAACTCAGCAGTTTTTTTTTTTTTTTTTTTTTTTAGACAGAACAGGCTCTGTTACCCAGGCTGGAGTACAGTGGCGCGATCTCAGCTCACTGCAACCTTCACCTCCTGGGTTCATGCGATTCTCCTGCCTCAGCCTCCCAAGTAGCTGAGATTACAACTGCCTGCCACAATGCCCAGCTAATTTTTGTGTTTTTGGTAGAGACGGGGTTTCACCATGTTGGCCAGGTAACCTCACGTGATCCACTCGTCTTGACCTTTCTAACTGCTGGGATTACAGGCATAAGCCACCATGCCCAGCCTTGCCTCAGCTCATTCTAAACATTCTTGATTGGTAAACAAAGTAAAATTGAAAGCTGCCGGAGCAGATATTGTTGGCAGGCCTATTCTCTTTTTTTTTTTTTTTAAGATTTCTCTTTTTAAAATTTTTCTTTGATAGTAGTTCTCAAGGAAGGCAGGCCTATTCTTTAGCACAGTGGTTGCTCAATAAAAATCTCTCTTGGTGGTTTGCTCATACAGAAAAGTTTTTAACCTTTTGGAGTTGGACTTCTGGCTTTTAGTGGCCAGAGAGTGAAATTTAGTGTAAATTTCCTCCTGTGGTTGCATTCTGTATGTCAGATGACCCAACTTCATGTAAGCTATAATAAACACACGTGGCTCTTATTGGGGTCTGTTGGCTTTTTGTTGTTGTTGTTGAAACAGAGTCTCATTCAGTCACCCAGGCTGGAGTGCAGTGGTGTAATCTCAGCTCACCACAACCTCACAATAGCAGACAGATCAGACAGATAATTAGCCCAGCTTCACAGAGGAGGAAGTAGGAATGAGGCTGGTTGAGTGAGCTGTCCCAGAGTTGAAATTCAGTCAGGTCTTCCGACCAAGAATCCAGTCCCATTTACTGCGTGTGACCACAGTGGGAGCTCACTAAGGAGTGGTCTCCTAGGAGACCAAGGATTCACATTCCTTCTTGTTTAGCAAATGGTAGTATGTGGTCAGATAGCCCATGTGGGAACTGCTGTTCCTACTGGGAGAGTGTTTAGGAATTGAGAACCCCTGCAGTGGTGCCAGTTACTCCAAAGCCCATACCCTCTTTTCCCTCTCAACAGAAGCCGGGAGCATCCTGATCTGCAGCTGTGGTGCCAGCCTTGGAAACAGCACTCAGGGGAGGAGAGATCTCATTCCAAAAACATCCCTATTACTGACACCAGGAGCAAGGAGGAAGCCCCAAGCTATAGAACTTTGAACGGGGCAATGGAGAAGCCCAGGCCCCTGGCCTTGTCCCTGCCGCGTTCTGTGGAGGAGTCCTACATCACCAGTGAGCACTGCTACCAGAAGCCCCGCGCCTATTACCCTGCTGTGGAGCAGAAGCTGGTGGTGGAGACAAGGGGCTCTGCCCTCGACGATGAGGTCAACCCCCTCCATGAGAATGGCGATGATTCCCTCTCCCCGCGCCTGGGTTGGCCTCTAGACCAAGACAGGAGCAGGGCGGACAGTGACCCCAAACCCAGCTCCCCAAAGGTATGTGACTGGCTTGTACTTGTTCTTCATTCATTGCGTGAGTGCTTGTAAGTTCTCCTCCTAGGTTTGAATGTCATATTGGAGATATTTAATAATAAAACTGTATTTAAATTTGCTTACCATAGATTTTTTTTTTGAGACGGAGTCTTGCTCTATCACCCAGGCTGGAGTGCAGTGGCAAAATCTCAGCTCACTGCAACCTCCACCTCCCAGGTTCAAGCGATTCTCCCGCCTCAGCCTCCTGAGTAGCTGGGATTACAGGCATGCACCACCATGCCCAGCTAATTTTTGTACTTTTAGTAGAGACAGGGTTTCTCCATGTTGGTCAGGCTGGTCTCGAACTCCTGACCTTGTGATCTGCCTGCCTCGGCCTCACAAAGTGCTGGGATTACAGGCGTGGGCCACCGCACCTGGATGTATTTTTTGGTTTGCCAACATGGGTGCAAAGTCAGGAAAGCCCACTTAAGCCAAAGATCTTGGATTCTAGGAAGCACCCACAAAATGGCATAGCCATTGTGATGGGTGGGGGAGCGGGGTGGAGGGGTGTGAAGGGTGGGAGAAGTGGGAAGTAGCAATGGGTTAGGAAAACTCATCTTTTCTTTAAGGCAGTTTGTATTATAATTGCACCTAGGTGCTAATTAGCATGGGCAAACAATGAGTCAAATGTTTTGTTAGGCAGAATTTTTTCAATCGAGTTTTATGATAGCTTTATTTTGACTTTTAACTTTGAAGCCCTGTGGTAAAAATGGTACACTTTGTCAAAATATTGCTGGTTTCATCAGTTTTCCCAAAGGCCACTTCCGCTTTTTGTTTTTCAAGTCATTCTCTTCTGGAACCTGTGTCACCTCATTGCCCGGAGTCTTCCTAACTGCTCACTAGGCTCATTGTGCCCTGTCCTCACTTGTCAGTGAGGCTTTGTGTGATTTGAGAGCTTCTCTACCTCGTTGTCCTTACTTCCCAGGCTTTCTCCTGCAGGTTGGTGTCCCCAGCGTTAAATGCATTGCTGCATAGTGCCGAGAGGGGATCCTAGATGACAAGCCCCTCAAGGGAGGGGATTGTACCTCATTCATCCTTGTGCCCCTGACTGTGTCTAAACAGTATTGGGCAAGGTGGTAAGGACACAGTCTTTTGAGCTGTTCTGGGCTCAGCCCCTTACTGTGTGATTCTGAGTGGGTTACTTCATTTTCCTGACCAGACCTGTTTTCTAGCCTATAGAATGGGGCCAGTGAAGCCCCCTCAGTTATTGTGGAATGTATTTGTGAAAATCCCTCAGCACACTGATTTGCACATAGTAAGTACTAAATTCATATTAGCCAGAATCTATTTCATTTCAAACAGATGAATGAAAGGTTGAGATACCAAATCCTAGAGAAGGTTTGTGGTCCTGTGGATCAGGCAGGATTCCTAAAGGTATCTGGCACACAATACAAAGTCAGGAAATACTGGACCTCAGTAATGTAACCAGGGTTAACAATCTCTTCCATATGGTAAGCTGACCGAATGCCGGCCTTGCTTTTATGTGCCTTATCCTATTTCATCCCCATGAACCTTCCAAAATAGGTTTGATTACCTCCATCTTCCCACCGAGAGAGCACAGGCTCAAAGAAGTGAAGTAGTCCATCCATTCTCACATTCAGCAGGAGACTGAGCTGAGAGTTGAACCTCATTGGTGTGACTCCTGTGTACTAACCCTTGTGTGCACTAGCCCTGCCCTAATCAGGTCTCAGGGCTCTGGAAGCCATTCTGTGAGGCCCAGGTTAGGCTAGGACATTGGCCCAGTCAGTAAGTAGGAAGCAGCTGTGCGTCCCCTGAGCTACAGTGCGCCACCTTGAGGTAGTTGGGATTGGTACAGTGGGCAAGTTTCTGCCCAGTTCCTAACAGGGAAATAAGGAAAGGGTGGTAGGGATTTGGAGTATGAAACTGCAGCTGATATTTCAGATGGCTGCAAACGCTGGCTGGTTGAGAAACGGGTCAGGGGCTGTCTCCATGCAGTAACTTCCATGGCATTGCATCCCCAGGTGAAGGAATATGTCTCCAAAAAGGCCCTACTAGAGGAAGCTCCTGCTCGGAAGCTGCTGGACAGAGGCGGAGAGGGGCTGCTGAGCTCCCAGCACCAGTGGCAGTTTAACCTGCTGACCCACGTGGAATCTCTTCAGGATGAAGTCACACACAGGATGGACTCCATTGAGAAGGAGCTAGACGGTAGGGCTCCTTCCTTGACCTCCTGTGCATTGGCATGCACTCTGAGCACCCCCAGATGAGTTGCTTTCTGAACTCCCCAATCTGAGTTTCCAGGGACCGCTGTATTCTTTGCTTCCCTTCTTTTCAGCCTCTCCCCACCTCCATTCTCCTCCCAAGATGGATGAGCCTTACTTGGAGTTTTTATCAAGCACTTACTTACAAGATCTACATGATGTTGGGTTCCTGCCTCACTTGTCTGATCCCTTCCGTAAAGTTGAGTATGCAGAGAGGGGTCAACAGGCAGTCCTGCTTGCAGGAAACGTGTGATCTGAGCAAAATCTTTACAAAACAAGTTCTGTGAGAAATTAAAATTCTGACTTGAGTTTTAGGGTATCTGAGGATTTAATCTGAAAAACCTTTTGTTTCAATCTTTGATAAAATCTAAGATGATGCTTTCTTCTCTTAAGCCAGTAGAGAGTTGAGAATTTGCCTAGTCATTTGGGTAGCCTGGGTATTCCTCCCAGACACTGGTGGTCATGGACAGGCCTGGAGGATCAAACCTGTGATGCTGAGCATGACCAAGTTCAGAATCTCTTGAATTCCAGGAAGTTCATGGTTTTGGTTGTTGAAATATTCCCTAATTATCTGCTTTCATATTAAAAATGGAGCCCAGTTAAGAAAGAAATGTTGTTTGAGGATTCTGGGTACAGTTAGGCTATGATTTTTTTTACTGTAACTGGGGACATAAAACATACTTGAAATAACTCAGGAGAAAATGCCATATGCTATACAAGTGAGGGCCATGAGGTGTGGCTAGGACACATGTGGCAGAGGCTATGCCAGGGAAGGAGGGTGCTAACAGGAGGGCTTCCTAAAACTGGGACTGAAGCAGAGCCTTAAGGAGAGTCATGGTGTTTCCTACTGGAGAGGACTCAGGGTGGATGATCTAGCTTGACTGGAAAAAGGGTTGTCACATTGGAGGACAGTGAGAAAGACAGCAAGACCTGTCTCTAGGCTAGGTGTGGTTGCTCACACCTGTAATCCCAGTACTTTGGAAGGTTGAGGTGGGAGGATTGCTTGAGGCCAGGCTGGGCATCATAGTCTCTACAAAAAAAATTAAAAATTAGCCAAGTGTAGGGTGTAATCCCAGCTACTTGGGAGGCTGAGGTGGGAGGACTACTTGAGCCCAGGAGTTGGAGGCTGCAGTGTAATTATGCCACTGCACTCCAGCCTGTGTCATACAGACCCTGTCTCTAAAAAAATAAACTAAAAAAAGGGAATAGTAACTGATGCCACTGTCTGTGAAAAACATGCTATTAGAGAGCTGAAGGAGGATATAATGCTAGACAAAAAGTGTAGCTCTTTAGAGAATGGCAGTGGGAGTGGCTCTGAGTCCCTGAAAAGAGGATTAGCACCATGGAAACAGGGTGAATGTTTGCTTGTTGCCACAAGTACCTTCCCTTAGAGGAGAAGTTAAAACCTTCTCACATCTTACCTCCTTAATCCTCTTCTGCCAGGTTTGGCCTCTCTAGCCCTGCACATGCCGGCATGTACATTTCTAAGACTCTAGGACCTGAGAGAGATACCAAGGAAGCATTAAAATACATGATAAAGCTTAAAGATTTTATTTAGGTAAATAGACTTTTGCATAGTATTTAAGATACCTCAGAATCCCTTTTTAGGGAATCACTTCTTTATTTAAAAGACCAAGATAAACTGGAGTTTTCATAACCAAAATAGGAATTTGGATGTAACATTCCTTTTTTCTAAAACTGGCCTGGTTAGCCAGGCTTGGTGGTATGCACCTGTAATCCCAGGTACTTGGGAGGCTGAAGCAGGAGAATCACTTGAACCCGGGAGGCCGAGGTTGCAGTGAGCTGAGATCACACCACTGCACTCCAGCCTGGCTAACACAGCGAGACTCAGTCTAAACAAATTTAGAAGCTTGGTGTGGTGTCTCACACTTGTAATCCCAGCCCTTTGGGAGGCCAAGGCAAGAGGTTCACTTGAGGCCAGTTTACAGTGAGCTATGATTGTGTCACCATACTCCAGCCTGGGTGACAGAGCAACACCCCATTTCTTAAAAAAAAACTGGGCCAGACATGGTGGCTCACACCTGTAATCCCGGCACTTTGGGAGGCCAAGGTGGGCGGATCACCTGAGGTCAGAAGTTTGAGGCCAGCCTGACCAACACGGAGAAACCCCATCTCTACTAAAGTCAGCCTCCCAAATAGCTGGGGTTACAGGTGCACACCACCACACCCAGCTGATTTTTTGTATTTTTTAGTAGAGATGGGGTTTTACTATGTTGGGCAGTCTGGCCTTGAATTCCTGACCTCATGATCTGCCTGCCTTGGCCTCCCAAAGTGCTGGGAGGCATTGGCCACCACATCCGGCTATTCTGCATTTTTAAAAGAGACACTTGGGATGGTGCAGCACGTGGTGTGGACAGGCTGGCCTGCTGGATGCTGGGGTCCAGAGGAATTGCTGTTGACCTCCCACAGTCCTGGCTCTGCTCTTCAACCTAGCAGACCTAGACAGACAGCTTCCATACCAGGAACTCCACACACTCCTGTTAACCAAACTCAGAGATATTGAGTGGCTTAGACTCTTTCAGTCTGAGTGTTGGTGCACTGTGTATGCCTCCTGGGCCACTAGTATTGGGATGTCTTTGGTGAGCCTGGAACCAGATCCAAGGTGGTTAGGGTGACCTTAAGAGGGGCCTCTCAGCAACCGTAGGATCATCTTGCAAAAGATTGACTCTCTCTCTGCTGTTGGACTAACCCATCCAGTCCTGACTGCCTTTTCTCCATTTATCCCTTTTTTTTTTCTTTTGAGATGGAGTCTTGCTCTGTCTCACCCAGGCTGTAGTGCAGTGGTGCGATCTTGGCTCACTGCAGCCTCTACCTCCCATATTCAAGCGATTCTTCCTGCCTCAGCCTCCCAAGTAGCTGGGACTACAGGCACCCGCTACCATACCTGGCTAACCTTGTATTTTTAATAGAGTCAAGGTTTCACCATGTTGGCCAGGCTGGTCTTGAATTCCTGACCTTAGGTGATCCACCTGCCTCAGCCTCCCAAAGTGCTGGCATTACAGGCGTGAACCACTGTGCCCAGCCTCCCCATTTATTCTTGTGTCTGTTTGCTGAGCAGTCCCCTGTCTCCTGTTTTTGTTTTTTTTAAGACTTACTGGTGTTTTGAAACTGGTCACTATCCAGTTTTCTTGCTCAGGAGGCCGCTAGATCCTCTCATGTGACTAATCTTTTATTCTTGATATTCAAGCTTAAGTTTGAGGAGGCAGTCTTATTTTTCTTATTTCCAAGTCCTTGTACTTGCTGGAATCAGGAAGAGAGAGGGTTCCTCCTTCTTGGAACCCCCAAATTCCAACAAGAAATAGGATGGAGAAGGGTAAGCTACACAGGGCCCAGAGCATTGGGGGCATTTTGCTGGACTACACATGCCCTCTCGCCGTGTTTTTGGAGGCTTGTCATGTTTCAGGCACAGCTGAGTGTTAGGGATATAATGGCAAGCAAGGCAGACTCAGCCTTTGCTCTCATAGAACTTGATCCAGTGGGAAAGACAGATATTAATCAAATCATCCCATTACCTGTAATTACAAACCATGAAATGCTCAAAGGAGAACATGTGATACCATGGCACCTGTAACACAAGGACCAGATTCAGGGTATAGGGTTGGGGAAGGCTTCCCTAAAGAATAGCTCACAAGAAACAGAGGATTTAGAAAGGTGGAGAGGAAGGTAGGGCTGAGTCTGAGGACAGAAGAGGATTCTGTGGTAGGCTGCAGGCTGCTTGAGGAAGAGGTGCTTCCTTTTGCTGCGCTCCGGGGTCCAGAGGGTGCTCAGTGCAGGTTGGTGTATGGACTAGAAAGGCTGCAGGCAGGCTGGGAAAGCACTGGGGCTACCTGCAGGGGGTGGTTTTTGTCAGAGGTACGGGGTTCCCAGATGGTCCCAAATGCCAGAGCTTTAGGGGGTACTTTGGGGAAGAACAAACATCTTTCTATAGAGAAATACTTGTTCTCATACATAAGGCAGCTTTCTAGATACTGAATCAATTATGATAATGTTAATTAGTACTCGGTCATCTTACATTAAATATTTAAAGGGGCCAGGCATGGCGATTCTCACCTGTAATCCCAGCACTTTGAGAGGCTGAGGCGGGCGGATCACCTGAGGTCAGGAGTTCGAAACCAGCCTGACCAACATGGCGAAACCCCATCTCTACTAAAAATACAAAAAATAGCCAGACGTGGTGGCATGCACCTGTAATCCCAGCTCCTCAGGAGGCTGAGGCAGGAGAATCTCCTGAACCTGGGAGGCAGGCAGAGTTGCAGTGAGCCGAGATTGCACCACTCCAGCCTGGGCAACAAGAGTGAAACTCCATCATACACACACAAAAAAAGGCTGGGCCCAGTGACTTATGCCTGTAATCCTAGCACTTTGGGGCCAAGGTGGGTGGATCACCTGAGGTCAGGAGTTTGAGACCAGCCAGGCCAACATGGCAAAACCCTGTCTCTACTAAAAATATAAAAATTAGCTGAGCATGGTGGCACATGCCTATAATCCCAGCTACTTAGGAGGCTGAGGCAGGGGAATTGCTTGAACCCAGGAGGCAGAGGTTGCAGTGAGCTGAGATAACACCACTGCACTCCAGCCTGGGCGATATACCAAGACTCCATCTCAAAAAAAGAAAAAAAATGGAGAAAATAATATCAGAGTATTCTCTGGCACTGATGATTATGTATCAATCAGGAATTAATATGAAGCAAATCAGAGTTTAAGATGATACAAATAGCCCTTTTCAAGACCCTGTAGATTTTTATTTTTCTTGACAGGATGCTAAAACATTAGGTTCTCTGATTTTCAGCATGGGAAAACTTTTTAAACACAAAATAGTGGGCCAGGTGTGGTGGTTCACGCCTGTAATCCCAGCACTTTGGGAGGCCAAGGCGGGTGGATTACGAAGTCAGGAGTTCAAGACCTGCCTGACCAACATGGTGAAACCCCATCTCTACTAAAGATAGAAAAATTAGCTGGGCGTGGTGGCATGCACCTGTAATTCCAGCTACTTGGGAGGTTCAGGTGGGATAATCGCTTGAACCCAGGAGGCAGAGGTTATAGTGAGCCAAGATCATGCTACTGTACTCCAGCCTGGGCGACAGAATGAGACTTGTCTCAAAAAAAATTTTTTTAAATTTCAGCCTTGAAGGAAAACAAAACAAAACAGAAAGACTAAGTAGTAACACTGAGAAAGGTGCTTCCTTCCAAGACCTCTAGACTCTGGTAACAGTAGCCTCTGGCAATGTGTGGCTGTCTAACCAAAACTGAATAAAATTTAGAATTCAGTTCCTCAGCTGCACTAGCCACGTTTCCACCGATCATAGCTGCATATGGCTAGTGGCTGTTGTATTGAATGACACAGACTGAGACCATTTCCATCATCGTAGAAAGTTCTTTTGGACTGTGCTGCTCTGAAGCACTTTTTGTCCTGGGAGTTTCACTTTGTAGAGCAGGTATTGACACAGTGTTGGCTGAAATGGCCCTTCCTTCCATGCCCTATGAATGGTTAGATGGAATAAGGTGCTGAAACACTTGCTGAAATGTTCTTGCAAATCAAGTGTTGGAAGCTCACTGGGTCTCCTCTCTCTCTTCTGCCGACAGTGTTGGAGAGCTGGCTGGACTACACTGGGGAACTGGAGCCCCCAGAGCCGCTGGCCAGGCTTCCACAGCTCAAGCATTGCATCAAGCAGCTGCTGACGGACCTCGGCAAGGTGCAGCAGATCGCCCTCTGCTGCTCAACATGAAACTGGGCACCCAAAACTCATGGGGGCACAATCCTGGGGCACCCGCAGGTGGAGCTTCGCATATTTAAATAAATAAACCTAGCATGCTGAATGCACGTGACACCGACTGACTTCAGGGATCTGGGCTAGGAATGTGATGGACATTGGACAAAGAGGCCATTTTGGCTGCTGGAAGACACTCTGATCTTGAAGCCTACCAGAAAGGTAGCAAATAGACTCTTGGGATTCCCTTCTTCTGTGCACATCGTTGAATGAAGAGAGTCTTTTTGCACAAACTTCACTTGAAATCGTGCCACTGATGATAAATGGAATGAGAGCCAAAAAAGTTTAGTTGGAGACAGTTGTAAATTCAATTTGCAGTTTATTTAATTGACTTTTCTGTCAGGTTGGGGCACATGCCAGCTCCCTGGTTTCTGCCTGGCATGGTGTTTAGGCAGCAGACATCATTTTCCTTTTCTAGCTTCATGGGAATGTTGTGACCTCACCATGCTCTGGAGGTTGGGAAGGAGCAGAGTCTTGGCTGCCCTGCTTTCTCCTTAGGACTCTTCACTTTTCTCACCACATCTCTTGCATGAATTCATGGTACTGGGGACAAGTTTGTATGCTTTTACCCCAGAGCTGGCTGGGTTATGGCTTTTGTAGCAGAGCCCATACAGCCTATGGAAGAACTAGAATCCCACAGTAATAAGAATCTAGGAAGAATTCCAAACTGCAGCAGGCAGGGTCTGGAACCCAAAGGACGGCATTTTCTATCCACTTCTTAATATTGACAGCTTCCCAGTTTTTATTTAATGTCCAAAAAAATGTTTCCCAAAATTTTGAACTCTTTCACTGTAAAGATTTGTTAAAAGAATGTGGTTTGGGGAGTTACCTTATTTTATATTGTTGTAAACAGACTTCAGATTCTATATGTGCCGCCTTTCTCCTTCCTGAAGGGTATGTTGAGTAGTCAGTGTTTTCCGAATTGTTTTGTTACTGTGTTTTCACATTTTAAATTCCCTGTTTGTATTATTTTGTGAGATCAAGGTGATTATGCTGCTTAAGGTCCAGGCACAACCTATTTGTACCTTTTGAGACAACATTTGTGTTACTTTTGCAGGTTATGTTTCCACATATAATTGCTGTATTTTGTTTTGTTTTTCCTTACTAGGCAAAGTTAAAATATTCCATGCTTTGAGGAGTGACCCATTTCACTACTTTGTTTTCTTATCACTATAAGGCAGAAATCAAAGCACAGTTGTCCATTAACACTTAGAAATTAATTATGGGTTTATGAGTCTGTAATGTTATATTGCTGCAAACATTTACTATGTAAACGTGAAGTAGCCAATAATATCTCAATCGTAGTAACAGTATCTTTAGTGACCTTTGGAATAGTTAAGCACAGGTCATTGTGGTCATGAATTCAGGCCTCTGTACTAAGATCTATTTCAGGGAATGCTCTGTCTAGTGATTTGCTCATCATTTGATACATAATGAATTATAGGACAAGTATAAGCTGATCTGCTATAGCTGATCCATCAGCGAGAATACATGTGGCTACACGTCTGTAACAAAACTGACAATTCCTCTACAAGAGGCTGTTTCTCACTGCGGATGTTGGTGTTTCTGTGCGGGAAGAAATGCACAGATGTGCACGGCATGTGCGTTCAGACAGCTGCATTGTTCGAATTCTGTGATGCAGTCTGAAAAGGGAAGAAACAGGATGGCCTTCTGTAGCCACAACTGTGAGGTGTGATGATTGTTATATTATTAGATTACTGATTGTTCTTTTCTGAAGATACATTTGAGTTTTAATCACATCTGCGGAAGCTGTAACTTTTAAAGTAGTCAATTTCATGTCTTCTTCAATGATGGAAGCAGAAACTGAATTACCCTAATTTTGCCGACTGGCCATTATTGGGTTTATCGTTTAATTTTTAGTAAAGGAAGTTAACCCATTTCACTCATTGTGACTTTTGTTCTTAGGGAAGCAGAGAAGTCTCCCCAAGTTCTTGTAACCTCAGTGTGCTTCCCTAATTTAAAGCCATGTTGAGGGGCTCCATTACCAATTCCTAGGTCAAGGTGAATTAACCCTAAGTTGGAGCACTGGAAACCGTTATTTGCAAACATTGCTGTTACAATTTAGAAATATGTGCACTACCGGCCGGGCGCGATGGCTTACACCTGTAATCCCGGCACTTGGGAGGCCCAGGCAGGTGGATCACCTGAGGTCAGGAGTCCAAGACCAGACTGGCCAACATGGTGAAACCCCGTCTCTACTAAAAATACAAAAATTAGCTGGGCGCGGTGGCAGTCGCCTGTAATCTCAGCTACTCGGGAGGCTGAGGCAGGAGAATTGCTGGAACCCGGAGGCGGAAGTTGCAATGAGCTGAGATCACACCACTGCACTCTAGCCTGGGTGACAACAGCAAGACTCTGTCTCAAAAAAAAAAAAAAAAAAAGAAAAGAAAAAAAAGAAATATGTGCACTACCTAAGTTTTGTCTTTTGAGAAAAACTATCCACCTATAAAAAATTACCTTGACAAAAATAGTTCCGGTTTGACTAATCATTTTGTTCTTTGAGTGGTAAGTGTATGCAAGGTGGATCCTTGATGAGCCAACATTGCACTGTGGATACATATCTATGTTTACGCGCTATTAGAACAGAAGGCGCTGTATATAGAAGTGTTGCTTTGAAGCAATATTTGCAAAACACGCAAACTTCTGTATCTGTATTTGGAAAAAAATAAAACAGGTTCTTGTTGCTATGTTTCAGTTACATATTATTGAGTTACAATCATGTATCATATAACGTTTCTGTCAACCATGGACCCTATGTACAGGGTGGTCCCATAAGATTATAATGAAGCTGTGAAAAATTCCTATCACTTAGTGATGTCCTGATGGTCCTACTGCATAGGCCTAGGCTAATGTGTGGACTTGTCTTAGTTTTTAACAAAAATTTTAAAAGTCAAATATAGAAGTTAAAGTAGAAAAATCCTCATACAATAAGAATATAAAGAAAATATATTTGTATAGCTCTACCATGTGTGTAAACACAAAGTATCATCATGAAAGTCAGAATTAAAATTAAAAAGCTTAAAAAATAAAAAAGTTGGTCAGGCAGGGTGCCTCAGACCTGTAATCCTAGTACTTGAGGAGGCTGAGGCTGGAGACCCTGTCTCTAAATAAGGGGCCAGGTGCCATAACCCCAGCACTTTGGGAGGCCAAGGCGGGCAGATCACCTGAGGTCAAGAGTTCGAAACCAGCCTGGCCTACATGGCAAAACCCCATACTAAAAATACAAAAATTAGCATGGTGGTGCATGCCTGTAGTCCCAACTACTCAGGAGGCTAAGGCAGGAGAATCGCTTGAACCCAGGAGGTGGAGGTTGCAGTGAGCCGAGATTGCCCACTTCAACCTGGGCAATAGAGTGAAACTCTGTCTCAAAAAAACAAAAAACAAAATAAATAAGTTAAACTAAGGCTAATTTATTATTGAAGAAAGAAATAAAAAAATAATAAGTTTAGTGGTTTATGACTAGCCTGGGCAACATGGTGAAACCCCATCTCTACAAGAAGTAGCTAGGCATGGTGGTGTGCCCCCCGTATTCTTAGCTGCTTGGGAAGCTGAGGCAGGAAGATCACCTGAGCCTTGGAGCCAGAAGTTGCAGTGAACCTAGATGGTGTCACTGTACTCCAGCCTGGACAACAAAGTGAGATCCTGTCTCAAAAAAAAATTTAGTCTATGTGTTCAGTGTATATAAATTCAGGAGTGGCATGCAGTAACATCCTAGACCTTCACACTCACTCATCACTTAGCCAGAAAAACGTCCTGTCCTGCAAACACGATTTGTGGTACAGGTAACTGTTTTACTATATAGAGTATACTACATACATATTTTTGGGGGGGGGGAGGAATCTTGCCCTGTCACCCAAGCTAGAGTGCATATGGCGCAATCTCGGCTCACTGCAACCTCTAACTCCTGGGTTCAAATGATTCTCCTGCCTCAGCCTCACGAGTAGCTGGGATTACAGGTGCCCACCACCACACCCAGCTAATTTTTTTATTTTTAGTATTTCACCACGTTGGCCAGGCTGTCCCCGAACCCCTAACCTGAGGCCCGCCTCAGCCTCCCAAAGTGCTGGGATTACAGGTGTGAGCCACCGCACCCAGCCTGTACTACATTTTTACTGAAACTTTTCTACATATAGATATGCAAATACCATTGTTACAACTGCCTGTGGTATTCAGTACAGTACCATGCTGTACAGGCTTGAAGCCTGAGGGCAGTAGACTACCACAAAGCCTAGGCGTATGTAGGTTATACCATCTAGTTTGCTTAGGTACACTCTAATGAGGCTCACACAATGATAAAACTGCCTAAAGGGTCGTATTTCAGAGCATATCCCCATTGTTAACTGATGTATGACTGTATAAAGTTCTTCACCACTCTTTTTTATTGAGAAGTTTCACACTTGTTGCCCAGGCTGGAGTGCAGTGGTGTGATCTTGGCTCACTGCAACGTACATCTCCTGAGTTCAAGTGATTCTCCTGCCCCAGCCTCCCAAGTAGCTGGATTACAGGTGTGCACCACCACACACGGCTAATTTTGTATTTTTAGCAGAGATGTGGTTTCACCATGTTGGTTAGGCTGGTCTTGAACACTTGATCTGTCCGCCCTGGCCTCCCAAAGTACTGGGATTACAAGTGTGTGCCACTACACCCGGCTCATTTTGTATTTTTAATAGGGATGGGGTTTCACCACCTTGGCCTGGCTGGTCTCAAACTCCTGACCTCAAGTGACCCATCAGCCTCAGACTCCCAAAGTGCTGGGATGACAGGCAACAACCACTGTGCTTGGCCTTCTTCATCTATTCTTAATCAATCATCTTCAAACATTACCTTTTAAATAAGCCTGTTCTTACCTTCTAAACAATTGTCTTTTTCCAGGGAGGCAGGTGCAAACTCTGCCAAGAAATCTCAAAGTATGCAAAAATACTTCTGAATTTGTCTAATATTCAAAAGCAAAATACTCCTCACCAACTTCCAGCCCAGTCTCACTCATGCTTTGTGGTGTGAACTGCAGGCTTAGATTTAGATTGCTGAGCGCAGTGCAAGACAGGTCTGGCCTTCCTTTTATTAGCAAATGTCACTCACTGCAATATGAACTAACTGGGACCAATCCAAGGTGTCCATGGACCCCAACTAGCTCCTCCCTGGGTGGGCAGAGCCTCTGGAAACAGTACCTTTAGCCTTTCAGAAGAGGTCATCCTCATTATTTGCCAAATGCTTCCTTCCCTTTCTAAACGATTATGCTAGTTTAAAAAAACAAAAGGGAAGGCCAAGCACAGTGGCTCACACCTGTAATACAAGCACTCTGGGAGGCTGAGGGGGGCGGGGATCACGAGGTCAGGAGTTCGAGACCAGCCTGACCAACACAGTGAAACGCCATCTGTACTAAAAATACAAGAAGTAGCTGGGTATGGTGGGCGTGCCTGTAATGCCAGCTACTCCGGCAGGAAAATCGTTTGAACCCGGGAGGCGGAGGTTGAGGTGAGCTGAGATCCAGCCACTGCACTCTAACCTGGGCGATAGAGCGAGACTCCGTCTCAAAAACAAAAACGAACCAAAAGGAGCCAGATGAAGAGACATTAAAATGCGTAGCTTCAGTAATGCAAATAATCCATTAGTTCACACTAGTTCCGCTTAACTCCTAACACAGGCCTAAAAGTTGGCAAGGAAGGTGAGCAAGTCTGGTGGCATAAGCCAGAACTCACAAGAACTACTCTGTGTCTGTCAGGGTGTGCAGTAAACACTTCACATTAAAATGGCCCAATAACCTGGACCTTTCGGGAAGCCTGTACCCCAAAGGGCAGGTGCAAGTCGATGCCAACATTGGTACAGAGCCAGCTATTCTACGTGGAAGAAACCCAAGTGGGTCCTTGGGATCCCAGGTGAGAAACTTCCCATATGTGGTAGAGGGATGACCCAGGTTCTGTCAATATGGTGGGATCTAAAGATCCCACAATAGCCAACGAAGGCCTTATTCTTACGGACTCCCAACTTCGTTTCGCCACTAGCCGGAAAGGCGGGGGGAAACAGGCTCGGTAAAAGAAACCCAACGAAGAACGAATGAAAGAGACACACCAGACCAAAGGCGCTGCCAAGGCTCGTTTTTCATTAACACGCGGTGCGGTCCTAGGTTCAGGCCCCCGGACCGGATCATGGCCCCAGTCCACACAGAGCGCCCGGCCCTGGCCGCCCCTAGCTCCACCGCTCAGCCAGTGATGCGCACATCCGTGCGGCGGCGGATCCGCCGGGCCCGCGTCGCCTCCGGCAGGATGGCAAGCAGCTGCTCTTGCACGAGCATCTCCACGATCTGCTCCTTGGTGCGGATGTCAGGCCGCAGCCACTGGCGGGAGAGCTCCCGCAGCTGCCGAAACGCCTCCCGGGGACCCGCCGCGTCCTGGTAGCGGAACTGCCGGAAACGCTGGCGGAACGTCTCGGGGCCGGGTCTAGAGCCGGTGGGGCCTGGTGGGGAGCGCGCTCCGGCTTCGGCCTGAGGCGCGATGCTCAAGGGTGCAGGCCCGAGGGGCAGCTCCGGGGCTGCGGAGACCGCAGCCCGAGGCGTAGGGATGGCCTCGGGGACCGCGGCGTTGGAGCTGGAAGGCTCGGGGGCAGGCGGTGAGGCCTCTGGCAGCGAGGAGCCCACGGAGATTCGCTCACGGTCTGAGCTCGAACAGGCTCCTTCCGACTTCTCCGGTGGCACCGCCGCGGGACTCCCAGTGGCCGCCAAGATCGGCTCGGTCGCCGCCATAACTCCGGCTGCTCCGGGCGTCACTCTTTGTCCGGCAGCTATGGGCTCAGCACTGCGTCTGCGCGGGGGCGGGGTGAGCAGGGACACGTTTCCGGTTAATCGGCAGAGCTCGCGCCCCCCTTGAGGGAGGCGGCCTCGGGACCAGCGGAGAGTGCGCGGAACTTACCTGCACCAGCGAAGGGCCTGCGGCAGCCGGAAGCGAAAGTCTCTGGCTTCTCTGTGTCCAAGTCGGCGTACGAGACCCCGGAAGCAGCGCGCGGGCTCCCGGAAACGGCGCCCTCTAGCGTTCTCGAGTCGCATGAGCAGGCTGCTGCCCTCGAGATGCCGGAGGCCGAGCTGCGCGCGCCTTGGGCTCTTTCCGAACGGTGGCGCCTCTGAGCGCCTGTTCGAGGAGGAGCCGGAGGAGGAGCCTGAATGTTTCCGGGTAGACTTCGAGTCCCGGATCGTCTCCGTGAGCCGCTTGGGCTTGCGGGGGAGCTTTCCGTGCGGGCGCCCCGTTCTGACTGACCCTGATGAGCTGTGCTTCTGACGGCCCCTCCTTCCGGAATGATTAGGGTGATGGCTGGCCGGGGCTCGTCCGGGTGGTGTCCGGCCAGTGACCCCAACAGGGGAGCGGGACGGCGTCCGGGCTCTCGGGGAGGACCCGTCTCGAGAAGGTTCTCTCGCTAGGTCGAAGTAGGAGGGCGATAGCACGCCCCCTTACTGCGAGGTTCATGGGCCACGACACATCGCCTGGCGCCAAGGAAACGCTCGAGAACTCTTTGCTATTGTTATTTTGTGTCTTCCGAAACCAAGGGAAAGGCGGTTTTGTGGGTTCTGTTAACTTCAAGATGATTAAGTGAACTTGAAGTGCGTTGCCCCGTATGGTGGCCGCTGGCCGCCTGAGTTTACTGAGCCCTTGCAACGTAAGCTGGTTGTTAACCCTCGAAATACAGCGAATTGAGATGTGCTGTATTGTCAGATACGGGACTTAGTACGAAAAAAAGCCAATGTGAATTATCTCCATGCTTTTAATGCTCATTACATGTTGGATCACAATGTTTTGCATATAGTGGGTCCCATAAAAATATTATGATTAATTTTACCTATGTGTTTTTGCTTTTTAAATGCAGCTCCGAAAACTATTTAAATTGCATGTGCAGTTTACATTATATTTTGTTGAACAGCGTTGGGTTAGAGTGAGGCTGCCTTGGCGGAATCCCCTTTGTACCCACCTCAGAGTTGTTGGGAGGATTAAATAAGTTAAGCCCTTGGAGAGAAAGGGCTTTTAAGAAGTTTGCTGTTATTTTTATTAGGTAAACTGCTTGCTATCTCTGAGATACTGTTTCATTATCAGTAAAATGTGGATGTAATAGAACTTACCTCTCAGAGGTAACAGTATTCAGTGAGGTAATGCAGGTAAAGCCCTCGGCCAGGTGGCTCTGTTTGATAACTGACTCACAAATAGTTTTGCTTTGTTTTTTTTGAGACTGAGTCCTCCCTCTGTCACCCAGGCTGGAGGGCAGTGGCGCCATCTCAGCTCACTGTAACCTCCGCCTCCCAGGTTCAAGCGATTCTCCTGCCTCAGTCTCCTGAGTAGCTGGGATTACTGGCGCCCGCCACCACACCTGGCTAATGTTTTATGTTTTTGGTGGAGGTGGGGTTTCACCATGTTGGCCAGACTGGTCTGGAACTCCTGACCTCAGGTGATCTGCCAGCCTAAGCCTCCCAAAGTGCTGGGATTGCATGTTTGAGCCACAGTGCCCGGCCACAAATAGGTTTTGTATCCCCATTTTACAGAAGAGGAAACTGAGGCCCTGACAGGGCAGGGGCTGCATATGAAAGGTTTTGTATGACCCTTGCGGTCCTTTTGAGCTCTGTGCAGGATGGAGGGGCATATTTAACAACTATTAACACGTCAGTAGCCCTGATATAGAACTTGCCCCTACCGTAGGATGTTTCCTTTGGATAGCTAAAAGTGGATCCTCATGAAATCGTTTCCATAGCCTGAAAACCTTGAAAGTCATCGCAATGGGCCTTTAATGTTTTTAAGTAGTTGCTGACATGTAAAAATTGGGAGATTTCACATGCAAATCCAGATGGCCACACTGGACCCAAATTCCTGCCAGTCAGCAATCAGCTGACACTGAGTAGACTGCTTCCTTTAAACAAGACACGCTGTCCCATTTGGTCTCAATCTCTACCATTCCCTATGGTTCTCTGAAATAGAATGTTGTTTGCATTTATGTTGCTCTCAGGCTGTTGCTTTCTTTAGAGCTGATACTTTTTTTCTGTTTTCTTTTTAGAGGTGAGAAAGCAGGGTCCTAGTGTTTGTTATGCCTACTGGCTTCAAACCTTGACTTCTGTTTGGCCCCTTGGCAGTTGGGTTTGCTGCCCAGAGTGAACAACAGTGCTATTCCCTGTGTGGTAACAGGTACTCAGTTTCCAGGGCCAAGGGAATACACTAAACCCTTCTGTGGAGGCAAGAGGTGATAGAAGTCTTTACTGGGGAGGGGGCTTCAAGCTGAGACTGAAGAAGAAAACGGATGGGGCTCAGAGACATTCCAGGTAGAAGGCACTGCCTGTACAAAGGCACATAGTGAGTGGGAGCAAAACTGTAGAAACTGGAGGCTATATGGGAACGCAGTTGGGATCTGGAGAAGGGGAGAGAGATAAGGTTGGAAGACTGGTAGATGTTAAATCATAAATGTCCTAGAATTCCATGTTTAAAATTTAGTTCTTATCCTCTCATGAAAGGGTATGAACTCTTCTGGTACCTGAAATCAGGAGATGTTATGTTAGATCTCTAGTCTATTTCTTTCATCCATATTGAAATCATGAATTGTTAGAGATGGAAGGAGGGACCTGAAAGATCTATTAAAATCACTGAATGTTAGACTGGAAGGGGCCTCAAAAATTGAAGTAAAAAATCCGGCCCTTTATGGGTCAGTAAACCTGCTTTAAAGTGATTCAGCAGTAAATAATAAATAATTTGGAGGGAATAGATGAAACGAGATTGGCTCAGTAGTTGGCCAGACATGGTGGCTCATGCCTATAATCCCAGCACGTTGGGAGGCGTAGGCAGGAGGATCACCTGAGCTCAGGAGTTCTAGACCAGCTTGGGCAACTTGATGAAACCCTGTCTCTACTAAAAATACAAAAAATTAGCCAGGCTCGGTGGCTCATGCCTGTGGTCCCAGCACTTTGGAAGGCCAAGGTGGGCCGATCACTTGAAAGATTGGCAGTATGTACACTCTACTTTTCTATATGCTTGAAAATGTCCATGATCAAAGTTAAAGCATTCAGATTCCCAGAGTCTGAAAAAATATATATAATGCCTCTTCTTCGTAAAGGGATGCAGTTACCTACTTTCAGGTAATTTGCATATATCCTTGAACTCTTCCAGAGGTCCCAGATTAAATTTAAAATATACATTTATATTTCATTCTTTTGAATTTTGCAGATTGAGAAGCCAAGATGCCAGGAGATGAAGGATTGGTCCAAAATAAGAAAGCTAGTAAGTGATTCCATGAGAACAGAGACCTTTTGACTTTTAGCCCGGACTCTTATCTTATTAGGCCTTTTTATCCCTAGATTGGGAGTTCACTTGGGAAGGGATCGTAACTCATTCATCTCATATCACTTAGCTTCCAACACAAGCCCTCACTCCCAGCCAGCCCTCAGTGTTGATAAAAGAGGCAAATATGGATTGCAGACCATCCCTGGGAAGGCAGAGCTCTCATATGAGTCCTAGACTCTTTCAGAGACCTTGGTGCCTTTTGATGGCATGTGGTTGTTGGGGGTTGTGGAAAAGAAGCTTGGATACTTTTCTTTTTTTTGAGATGGAGTTTTGCTTTTGTTGCCCAGGCTGGAGTGCAATGGTGTGATGTCGGCTCACCTGGGTTCAAGCGATTCTCCTGCCTCAGTCTCCCAAGTAGCTGGGATTACAGGCATGCGCCACCACACCTGGCTAACTTTATATTTTTAGTAGAGACAAGGTTTCTCCATGTTGATCAGGCTGGTCTCGAACTCCCGAACTCAGGTGATCCACCTGCCTTGGCCTCCCAAAGTGAGCCACCACACCTGGCCACTTTTCTTTTTTATCAGAGCCATCACACTGGAGAATATGTCTTTTAAAAAGCCTTTTAGTTAGAAATAATTATAGATTCATAGTAGGTTGCAAAAATAGTTCAGAGAGGTTTCATGTACCCTTCATTCAGTTTCTCCTAATGGTAACATCTTGCATAACTATAGTACAATATCAAAACCAGGAAATTGACATTGGTACAATCCACAGACTTTATTCACTTTTCCCAGTTTTACATACATTCGTTTGTGTGTGTAGGTCTATGCAATTTTATCGTGTGGATTCATGCAACTACGAACTGTCTGATCACCACAAAGATCCCTCATGCTCTTTATAATTGCATCCATTCATCTTCCCTTCTCCCTAACCACAGGCAACCACTAATCTATTCTCCATGTCTCTAACTGTGTTATTTTTAAAATGTTATGTAATTGGAATCATATAGTGTATAATCATGTGGGCTTGGCTCTTTCCACTTAGCACAATTCCCTGGAGATTCACCCAGGTGGTTGCATGTATCAATAGTTTGTTCTTTTTATTGCTGAGAGGTACTGTGGTATATTTAACCATCCATTGAAGGTCATTTGGGTTGTTTCCACCTTTGAGCTGTGACAAATAGAACCGCTGTGAGTTATTTTATGACATGGCCTTAGGTGATCATTTGTTTTTCTGAGTCTGGAGATAGTATCTACCACACAGGATGGCTCTGAACAGTCAATGAGGAAATATATATAAGGGAACTGGTGCAGGGTTTGGCACAGAGTATATACTTAGTGATTTTTTTAAACAGTGATGGTTATGAAGAAATAAGACTTGAATGTGTAAGTTCTAGTATGTAGTATTTTTAAGTCACAGGCACTGATATTAGTGTATTACTCTGTTCTCACACTGCTAATAAAGATACACCTAAGACTGGGCAACTTATAAAGGAAAGAGGTTTGATGGACTCAAAGCTTCACACTGGGGAGATGTCACAATCATGGTGGAAGACAAGGAGGAGCAAGTCAAGTCTTACATGGATGGCAGTAGGCAAAGAGAGAATGAGAACACAGTGAAAGGAGTTTCCCCTTATAAAACCATCAGGTCTCTTGAGACTTATTCACTACCAGGAGAACAGTATGGGGGAAACTGCCCCCATGATTTAATTATCTTCCACTGGGTCCTTCCTGAAACACGTAGGAATTGTGAGAGCTACAATTCAAGATGAGATTTGGGTGCAAATACAGCCAAATCATATCAATTAGTCATTCTTGTTTTGTTTTGTTTTCTCATTGTCAGCGCTTGAAGACAATTAGTCATTCTTGAACATCTGTGTATGTGTGACACATTATTTACAGATAAAAAATTAAAGTCAAGAGGGATTAATTAACTTGCCCAAGTTCAGCCAGTGCATGGCAAGATTGGGATTCAAACCCACATTTAACATAGAGACAGTAGGAACCATGGAACGACTTAAAAGTAGTGGAGGGACGTGATCAGATTTGTGTTTTAGGAGACTCGGTCTGGATGTACTGTAAAGAATATTGCTTTATTGCTGAACACTTAGATTATTTCTGATTTTTTATTAAGATAATGTGATAATCTTAGAGAGCTTAAAGCTTTTTCTGATTTTGAATTATAAGCATCTATTACTATCAAATCTATTTGGTTTCTTAGTTTGAAAAGCAAGCATTCTGATAGCAAGAGCTTAGATGATAAGGGATATCAGTACTTCCTCAGGCTATAATTCGAAAAGAAGACTGACTGAAATATTTTACTAATATTGCTGCCTTTCTTTCTAGAGACATGTATTTGATTCCTAGAATGTTAGGACAACTCCTTTACTTCACAGATGGGCAAACTAAAGTTCATACAGTAGAAGTACTAGCCAGGGTAGAATCCAGGGCCCAGCAGTGAATGAGAGTTTTAGTAGCTCTACATCCTCACCAGCACTTAGTGTTGCATTTGACAGAGTCTGTCACCCAGGCTCAATGTCTTTAACTATTCAGAAAATCCAGTGCAGTGGTGCAATCCTAGCTCACTGCAGCTTCAGACTCCTAGGTTCAAGCTAATCCTGCCTGAGCTTCATGAGTAGCTGGGACTATAGGCATGTACCACTATGCCCCACTAATTGTTTTATTTTTTTGTTTTGTAGATACGGGATCTTGTTATGTTGCCCAAGCCAGTCTCAAACTGCTGGCTCCAAACAATCCTCTTGTCTTAGCCACCCAAAGTTCTGGGATTACAGATGTGAGCCACCGTGCCCCGCCATACCTCTCACTTTCTCTTGTTTCTATACCGCCATTCCTCCCTTCCCCTCTCCTCCCCTCCCCTCCCCTCCCCTCCCCTCCCCTCTCCTTTCCTCCCCTTTCCTCTCCTTCCCTTCCGTCCCCTGTCCTCTCCTCCTCTTCCCTCTCATCCCCTCCCCTCACCCCTCCTCTCCCTTTCCTCCCCTCCCCTTCCCTCCCCTCCCCTCCCCTCTCCCCCTCCTCTCCCCTCTCCCCCTTCCCTCCCCTCTTCCCCTCCTCTCTCCTCTCCCCCTTCCCTCCCCTCTCTCCCTTCTCTCCCCATCCCCCTCCCCTTCCCTCTCCCCCATCTTTCTTCTCCTCCCCTCTCCCCCTCCCCCCCCCTTCTCCCTTCTCCCCTCTTCCGGTCTCCCTTCCCCCTCTTCCCCTCCCCTTTCCTCCTCTCCCCTCTCCTGCCCCCTCCCCTCCCCTCCCTTTCCCCCTTTGTCCCCACTCCCCTCCTTTCCCCTCCCCCTTCCCCTGCCCCTTCCCTCCCTTCCCCTCCTCTTCTCTTTTTGATGGAGTCTGGGAGTCTCACTCTGTCACCCAGCTGGAGTGCACTGGTGCGATCTTGGCTCACTGCAACCTCTGCCTCCCAGGTTCAAGCTGTTCTCCTCCTGCCTCAGCCTCCCGAGTAGCTGGGATTACAGGTGTGCACCACTATGTCCAGCTAATTTTTGTGTTTTTAGTAGAGACAGGGTTTTACCATGTTGGCCAGGCTGGTCGTGAACTCCTGACCTCAAGTGATCCATCAGCCTTGGCCTCCCAAAGTGCTGGGATTATAGGCATGAGCCACCATGCCTGGCCTCTTGGCTCTTCTTAAATCATTAATTCCCAACTCCTTCATTTGCTTTTTGCAGTCCTGTTTCCTGTTTTTAGCAAGGCTAGCTTTCTTTTTGATGTTTCTGGAATGACCTTCACTTTTGAGATGGTTATTTTAAAAATCCCTTCTTTCCTGAGCTCTGTCAGTGTCAATTCCTCTGGCTATCTCGGTGTCTTTTCTTTGAATTATTGCATCTTTGCTTTGATTTCTTGTTTTAAAATTCATTAAGCCCCTAGTACAGAGAAGGCTACCCTAAAAAAAAAATTCATTAAGCCCCTAGTACAGAGAAGGCTACCCTAAAAAAAAAAATTCATTAAGCCCTTTGAGTTCTTTGTTGTTCATGATTATCATCTATTTCATGTTAGCTCTTTCCTTCTTTCTTTTCCCTCCCTCCCTCCCTTCCTCCCTCCCTCCCTCTCTTTCTGTGATTGTCTTTCATCTGCCATTTGTTTTTCCTGTTCCCTGCCTGCCTCTCCCATTTTTTTTTCAATAATATCTTTGTATAAGTCTGGTGCTATTTCTTTTTTACTTTAACTCTCCTTTAGATGAAGTGAGTTATTCTGGACCAGCTACTTGTGGGTTGTATGTGGAGAATGGAATAGAGTAGAATTCCAGGCTGTCAGGAATTCTTTTGGCTTCCTAGTGAAGCTCCTTCTGACGGGGTTTTGCGTAAGTATGTGAATTGGTTTAGCCCTTTCCTCTTCCAGTCAGCTGGAGCTTAACAGCTGCAGGGCTATAAAAATGGCACATCTGTGTTTCCCTGGCCAGTCCACTCCCTGCTTCTCCTTGGTGCCAGTGGGACCAGAGCGGCTCCCAGAGCCAGCCCCACCCATCACCATCCCAGTGTTCTACTGAAGGTGTTGTGAGTTGTGCCCTCAAGGTGCAGCCCCCTTTCTTGGAGAACTTTGAGTTCTGCCAGCTCTCCCTGAGGCCTGTGGCCGTGTTCTCTATTGGCATTAACTTCTGGATCTTCTCAGCAACCCTCATGGCCACACAGGCTGATGTGATAGTTTGCTACTCTCAGCACGGTCACCTGTCACCCTCTGGCCACTGGAGTGCTCAGCCCAGAAAGGCTGGGGAGTCAATCCCTCCAGGAGGAGCTCTCAAGTGGATGGCTCTGAGGCATGCTCCTTGCACTGTTACTAAGGTCCCCAGGACTGGCCCACAGGGTGACATGTTCATGCATTTCTGTAAAAAAATAATGTATAGAAGATCTGAGGATTATTCTCCTTAGCTATGTTAACATAATGAATTGTGTTTATGGACTCTTCCTTAACCATCTTTGCATTCCCAGGATGATGTGATTTTTAAAGGTACTGCTGAATTCTATTTGCTTATATTTTAAGATTTTAAAGACAATATTTATAAATGAGATGAATCTGTAGCTTTCTCCTTTTGTGCAACCTCTGTTTGGTTTTAGTGTCATTGTTCTCACTTCATTAAAATAATTTGGTAGTTTTCCTTCTTTTTAGGCTCCGGAACAGTTGAAAAAACATTGGGATTATTTGGAGTTGCCTATAAAACCTTTAGGATGTGGTGCTTTTTCTTTTTAGAGTGGTGAGAGACCTCTTTTACAGCTTCTCTACTTCCATGACAATTAGTCTTTGTAGGCTGGGTATAGTGGCTCACACCTATAATCCCAGAACTTTGGGAGGCTGAGGTGGGAGCACTGCTTGAGCCCAGAAATTCAAGACCAGCCTGGGCAACATAGTGAGACCAGATCTCTACAAATTAAAAAATTAGTCAGTCATGGTGGTGCACACCTGTGGTCCCAGCTACTTAGGAGGCTGAGGCAGGAGGATCACCTAAGCCTGGGGAGGTAGAGGCTGCAGTGAGCCATGATCATGCCACTGCACTCCAGCCTAGGTGAAAGAGTGAGACCTTGTCTTCAAATTAAAAAAAGAAAAAGAAAAAGAAAAGAAAGAAAATCAGAAAATTGTCTATTTAAATGGTTTTGACTGGACACAGTGGCTCACACCCTTTGGCCTCCAAGGTGGGTGGATCGCTTGAGGTCAGGAGTTTGAGAGCAGCCTAGCCAACATGGTGAAACCCTGCTTCTACTAAAAATATAAAAATTAGCCAGGCATGGTGGTGGGTGCCTATAATCCCAGCTACTTGGAATCCGGCTGAGACAGGAGAATCGCTTGAACCTGGGAGGCAGAGGTTGCAGTAAGCCAAGATCATGCCACTGCACTCCAGCCTGGGCAACAGAGAGAGACTGTCTCAAAAATAAACTAACAAATAAAATAGTTTCTACTGGGGTCACTCTGGTTAATTATTTTTTCCTAGATTATCTGTAAAAATCCAGTATTTAAGTGTTAAAATTTGATTCATTCAAATTCCTAAAAAAGCCTCTGTTGAAACATGTCAGTAGGCCATTTATGGCCTGTGAACTGCCATTTTGCAATGACTAGATAGAGAATTTTTGACCTGAAAGAGGCCATATGGATTCTATACTGGGGTCTGCAAACAGATAACATGACTGGCAGATGACTTAATTGTGTGAGGTGAAGACGTTGGTGAATTGGAGAGCCAATACCTCAAAGACAAGCAACTTAATTTTGAACAATATATATATTATTTTTTGAGATGGTGTCTTGCTCTGTTGCCCAGGCCGGAGTGCAGTGATGTGATCTTGGCTCACTGCAACCTCTGCCTCCCAGGTTCAAGCAATTCTCCTGCCTCAGCCTCCTGAGTAGCTGAGATTACAGACATGTGCCACCACTCCTGGCTAATTTTTGTATTTGTAGTAGAGACGGGTTTTCACCATGTTGGCCGGGCTGGCCTTGAACTCCTGACCTCAGGTGACCCTCCTGCCTCAACCTCCCAAAGTGCTGGGATTACAGGTGTGAGCCACCACGCTTGGGCGAATCTTTTCATCTTGAAAATAAATTATTTGTGGAATTTAATCTAACTCTATTTTATACATTATGAAAATGAGGCCCCAAGTAGTTAAGTCCCTATTCACATAGGAATAGAACCAGTGCCCTTTTGGGCATTCTTTCATGTAACAATTCCACTTATAGAATCAGAAACTGTAACAGAAATGAAACTTTCTTGATTTCTAGAACTGACTTTAATGTCTGACTCTGAATACCCAGCCTACCTCCTTACAGATCATTTCAGACATCTTCTGGTAAATTGAGAATCAATCCAGTAATTTTGAGTGGATATAATTTCAGCCTTATTGATTCATCTTGGGCCCATTCAAAACTCTCTAAACTTCCTGCCTCTTCTTCCCCAAAGCTGATCCAATTCCTAGAGAAATTGTACAGCCACAGCTAGGAAGAGGTGAGGTTGGCAGTGACCATTTTTGTGATCTCATCAGGTCTTACTGGCATCATCTGATGCCCCTTGTGAGCCTGGATACTTTCCTTTCACTCTTGGATCCTCAGACAGCTCAGGAGACTGATGGGACACCCCTCCTGCCTATTGCCATCTCCTACCATCTCTCTTGCCTTCTGCAGGCCCAGTTGTTTCTTTCAGAAGCCCTCTAAACTTTTGAAGGGGATCCTCATATATTTCCTTCCTTAAGAGAAGGTTTGCAGTAGGGGAGACAAAAACTTGACTAAGTGGTAGATAAGGCACCAAAGTGAGTCATGCACACTCTCACCTGCTCACTCCCTCCTCTGTCTGCCATTCATGCCAAGTCCCCTTTTAAAAGCCCTTGCTCTCTGCTCCAGAAGCAAAGAGGTACCCTAAGGCAGGAAGCCCATACTTTTCCCCTTAAGCTAGCTTTGGAATCAAAAGTCACTTTCTTTCTACCAAATCTTGCTTTTTTCTTTTTTTTGAGGCAAAATCTCTCTGTTGCCCAGGCTGCAGTGCAGTGGCACGATCTTGGCTCACTGCAACCTCCGCCTCCTAGATTCAAGTGATCCTTCCATCTCAGCCTCCAGAGTAGCTGGGATTACAGGCACCTGCCCCCTTGACTGGCTAATTTTTTTCTATGTTTAGTAGAGATGGGATTTCACCATGTTAACCAGGCTGGACCAGACCTTGCTTCTGTTAACTGAACGCTACAAATGGCGAGCAACTATACCTGAAATTTAGCTACACTACTTTCTTTAAAAAAAAAAAAAAAAGGCGCTGGCTGCACGCAGTGGCTTATGCTCGTAATCCAGCACTTTGGAAGGCTAAGGTGGGTGGATCACTTGGGGTTAGGAGTTTGAGACCAGTCTGAGCAACATGGTGAAACCCTGTCTCTATTAAACATACACAAATCAGCTGGGTGTGGTGGCGGGTGCCTGTAATCCCAGCTACTTAGGAGGCTGAAGCAGGAGAGTAACTTGAACCTAGGGGGCAGAGGTTGCAGTGAGCCAAGATCTGGCCACTGTACTCCAGCCCGGGAACAGGGCAAGACAGTGTCTCAAAAAAAAAAAAAAAAAAGTGAAAAAACAAAAACAAAAGCCTTATCTTTGCAGGACAGGGGAGTCCCCCCAAACTGGGACTTAGCCCGGAAGAGTTCCTGGCTTTGCCCAAGGAAAGAATTCCAGGGTGAGCCAGTGGTATTCGGAATCTTTTATTGAATAGTGCTGTTCCTTGTGGAGTAGGGCTAACTCATAGGCTAACGCAGCATGGGTTGTTGTATGGGATGTTGGCAACTGTATTTATACTCACTTCTGATCCCTTCTCAGCCTTGTGGCTAAGATCAAGTGTAGTATACTCATCCTACCCACTTTCAATCACACATAAATTAAGGGGCGGGTTAATGCAAATTAAAAAAAAAAGGGGGTGGGTTTTTAGAGCTTCATAGGAAAGGGATGGCAACTTCCTCTTCATTGCCAAGACATTTGTAAACAGTCATGGCGCTGGTGGGAGTGTCTTATGATAATGTGGAATGGGGACAGCTAGGGGTGTGCTTTTGTCCCTGTCTGCTGGTTCATGCCAGTTTTTTCCACTTTATCCTGTCTGGACCAGATCCTGTTTTGGTCAGCAGGGTTGTGACCCGAAGGTAAGTCCTGCCATTCTCCTGTCTCACCAGGACTCTGGCAGCCATTTTAGCTCCTTTGAGCCCCAGTCTCCTGTGTATGGAGTTGAGTAAAAGTTTGGGTGGTTGTGAGGATTCACTGAGGTAATGCCTGTGAGTGTCCAGTAATTGTTAGACTCCCACATTCCAATCCCTCTGCCCCTCCCTCCAGAACCTTTCACTGTGACCTTAGGAGATTCTGAGAATGATTTTCTCAGAGTAGGGCTTCTAGTAGCTGATGGTATGGTGGCAGGAGTGAAGTTAAGCCCTTTCTTGCCTTGTTACTGAAGAAATCTATTTGTTTCTAGTATTACTGAATTCCTGGGGGCTAGTTGTGCCATTTGCCCACCCAGGAACCATGAAGAGATATATGGTAACTCATGCCTGGCAGCTCCTGAAGAAGGAACTGGTGAGGAGGGGCAAGGGCTCTGGGAGGGAAGAGCAGAAGATTGAACAGACAGGTGTTTTGAGGAACATAGATGCAGGTGTAGGAGGGGGCCTTGGATGAATGGTGGCCATCCTGTACCATTTGGAGTCACAGCAAGCACAAAGGAGGGACCCCTGCCCTGTAGCCTACCAGCCCCCCACACTGGGCAAGCCATGGGCCGTACTCAGAGCCACCGAGTCCTATTCTGTACCTGCTCTTCCTGCTATTATGAGATCCAGAGAGGACAAGGCAGGGTAGCAACATAGAGTCACAGGTTAAGCTTGTGAACTCTGGAGCCAGACTACCTGGGTTTAAGTCTATTACCTTTTAGTCATGGGACCTGAGACAAGTTGCTTGGTTTGCTGTGCCTTTATTTTCTCCTCTGTAAAGTGAGATGATAGTATTAGTACCTACTGCATAAATTTACTATTGATTAAACGATTTACATATTAGAATAGTGCTTTGAATAATGCCTGACAATAGTAAATTGTATTCAATAGGTATTAATTTTGTTCATAAAGTGCCTTTCCTGATATTTCCTTAGATATCTAATTTTTAAGGAATAGAACATTACAGGTGCAGGTAAAGCTCTTTACCATCCCACTCTTTACTAATAACTACTTTCCTGAAGCTGGTGTCACCCTTCCTATTTATATTTTTATGTATTATCACATGTGTATATATCCATTAACAACATATAGTATGTGGCACACTTTTAAAAAATGATATTATAAATGGCATCATAGTTCTTTTTTCCCCACTCAAAATCATTTCAGCTTTATCCACATTGACACACACAGACTTAGTGCTATGTTCAGTCCTGTGGCTGTACCATAATGCATTGATCCCTTTGATTCCTACTAATGGACACTTGTTTTCAGCCATTTACTATTACAGACAGTGTTGCCATCACTGCCCTCATGGGGACATGAGGCTATCTCATGTCCTCATGGCTATCTCCTTGTGCATGTATGTGAGTTTCTCTGAAGAGGACACATAAAGTACATACAGTTCCTCAATTGTAAAGTACACACATCCTCAACTTTATATAATGTTGCCAAATTGCTCTTCAACATGGCTGTACCATGTTTCCCAGTTTCCAGTGATAAGTGTAAACTAGTATCTTGTTATTACTTTAATTTCCATTTCCACTGTTTCTATCAGTGTTAAGAATGGTTTCATAATCTGGCTGGGGCATGGAGACTCATGCCTGTAATGTCAGCACTTCGGGAGGCTGAGGCAGAAGTATCACTTGAAACCAGAATTGGAAACCAGCCTGCGCAACAAAGTAAAACCCCTTCTTTACAAAGCATATAAATATAAATGGAAATGCGTAAAAACAATCTTTTCACAATTTATAGGTAATTTGAACTTTCCCTTTGAATTACCTGTTCATATCCTTTGCTCATTTTGCTGTTGGGTTATTTGTATTTTTCTTTTGATTTGTAGGATTACGAAAAATAGATTTTGGTGAGTAATCCTTTGTTGTTGATTATACGCATAGCAAGTATATTTTACCAGTCTGTAGTTGTTTTCTTACTTAGTTTATGATATACTTTAGCTAGTCTCAAACTCCTCAAACAATACCTCAAGCAATGGGCCCACCTTGGCCTCCCAAAGTGTTAGGATTACAGACTTGAACCACTGCTCCTGGGCTTTTTTTTTTTTACAGAGCCTTGCTCTGTCGCCCAGGCTGGAGTGCAGTTTGATGATCATAGCTCGTTGCAACCTTGACCTTCTGAGCTCAAGCGATCCTCCTGCCTAAGCCTCCCGAGTGGCTGGGACTACAGGCGAGCTCTACTGTGCCCAGCTAATGATGTACTTTTCAACAGAAGTTAGTAAACAGAGATTTTTATTTAGTTTCTGAATTTTTTTCCAGACCCTCCCTGAACCTAAAGTTTTGCATTTTTTATTGGAAAATTTTCAAACATAAAAGTTGAAATATTTTACATATATATGTATATGTATCACCCTCTAGATCTATCATTCACCATTTTGCTGTATTAGCTTTATGTATTTGTGTATGTGTTTGCTGAATTGTTTGAAAGTAAACTGTATACTTTATGACATATCTTTCTTAAAAATAATGACATTACTCTCATAACCAAATACCACTATTATACTAAGAAAATTGGCACTGATTTCCTAATATTATCTCATGTACAGTCATATTCAATTTCCTAATTTGTTCTTAGAGTGCCTTTGCTCTGTCGCCCAGGTTGGAGTGCAGTGGTGCGATCTCAGCTCACTGCAACCTCTGCCTCCTAGGTTCAAGTGATTCTCCTGCCTTAGCCTTCCGAGTACCTGGAACTACAGGCTTGCACTCCCATGCTCAGCTAATTTTTTTATTTTTAGGAGAGATGGGGTTTCACTACGTTAGTCAGGCTGGTCTCGAACTCCTTACCTCAGGTGATCCACCCACCTCAGCCTCCCAAAGTGCTGGAATTACAGGCATAAGCCACTGCACCTGGCCTAGATTGGCTTTTATAGCTTGTTATTATGAACCAGGATCCAATCAAGGAGCATACCATTGGTATGTCTTTTGAATCTTTATTAATCTAGAGCAGCCCCCATGCCTTGTTTTTCTCCTCATGAAATTGACTTCTTGAAGAAACAGGGTTTATTGATTTATAGATTGTTCTACATCCTGGATTCTTCCCTATCCTCTGTATTCACTTGTTCTCAGTCCCAATTCCAAATTCCCAGGGAAAAGGTAGGGTGGACCATCTTGGATTAGGTGTTATATTAGTTTTCTATGGCTGCCATAACAAATTACCACAATTTGGTGGCTCAAAACAAAGCAAATTTATCTTACAGTACTATAGGCAAGGAGTCTGACATGGATGTTCTTTTTCTTTTATTTTTTTTCAAGACGGGGTTTCAACATGTTGGTCAGGCTGGTCTTGAACTCCCGACCTCAGGTGATCCACCTGCCTTGGCCTCCAAAGTGCTTGGATTATAGGCATGAGCCACCACACCCCGCCAACACGGATATTCTTGTTCTAAAATCAAGGTGTGAGCAGGCCTAAATTCCTTTCTCAAATCTCAAGGCCTTTTCTGCTTCTAAAGGCCACCCACATTCCTTGGCTTATGGTCCCTTCCTCTATCTTGAAAGCCGGCAGTTTCATCTCTCTTACCTCATCTTCATCTCTCATTTCCTCAGATCTATCTGATTCTAAAATTCAGGCTCTGTACATCCTACCTATACTGCCTGCAATTAGTTGTGCCACTTATTTTGTGGATGGCAGTGAAGGATTTGACATTTAACTGGTTTACTGGTGCATAACAACTGACTTCTGGGGAGAGGAGATGCCCTGACTAGTAGCTGCCAGTTTATATGCCATAAAAACTCCTACCATGGCCAGTTTCAGGCTACCAACTTAATTTCAGCAGGCTTGCAAACTTCCTGAAAAATCTAACCATCACTCTAGCACACCCTGCATTTAATCCTGGTACATTTCACCTTGTTCAGCGCCATCCAGCCTGCTGTTGACAATCATAACTAATTGCAACATTGACCTCCTGGGCTCTATTGGTTTCTATTGATCTTGTTTGCTTTGTTTCCACAGGGACTGTACCAGCTTGCCAGGGATATCGTGATAATGATCCGAGTGTGTAAAATGTTCCGCCAAGGCCTCAGGGGATTCCGGGAATATCAAATCATTGAGACTGCTCACCGGAAGCACCCTGCCTTCTCCTTCTGGGATGTAAGCAGCTGGGCTCAGCAGGATTATGAGGGCTTAAAGAAGCCCAATAAATTACACCCCACTTCCTGGCCCAAACTCAGAACTAACTGAGAAAGAAGACAGAAGAAAAAGCAGATGAGAGATCCAATGGTCACCTTTATTAATGACCAGACTTCTGTTAGAGAGGGTAACTTACATCATCAAGCGAGAGGGTTACCTAATGCTGAACCCCAGATTTAGACAGCTTTTCATGCCTAGCCACAGGCAACGCTGGACCAAGGCAGGGTCCAGTGCAACAGCAGGCCTGCTGCCCTAAACTCATGGCAGGGAAAGGAGGAGCAAAATATGGGCTCAGAGGGAAAGAGAGGATCATGCCTAGTTTTTCCCTTTCCGAATTCACCAAAGAGCTTAAGTCACTCCTTCTCAATGTAGAAGGAGAGAGGCCAGTAGTGTTCTATTAATACTCCTCCCTCCATGTGGAAAGAAACCTTGGGAGTGGAGAAGTGGTCTTCGTTGCAGCGGTGATCAAAAGAGCCAGAAGCAGTGCAGGAGTCACATAACCAAGGTTTCTGAATGCCCAAGCGCTCGCTCTATGTACATGTCTCCTTTCTTTCCCGCACCCCTACTTCCTTGAGGGGTATTTTCAGGGCCCTGTTCACTGCGCTGACTTTATTTGTAGATTTCCTAGAAGGCCCCAATTCAAAATATTTTATCCCAGTGGTAGATCATGAGCCCTTCTTCAGCTCAAAAAGTTGGTCACCCTTCTGTTAACTTGTTCATTCTAGTTCTCCAAAGGTATCTTCATTGCTACTGCGTGTTGCTCAAGGCTTGAAAGTTTCCCCAGCAGTCACCTGGACAAATCTTGCCCATTTTCCTCTTGTTTCGGGAATGACTAGAGCCAGCCCCCACCCCTCTGCATCTAGTGATTCACTCCACGAAATTTCCCTAAAGGGCATCTGACAGATAGTGGCCAAAGAAACGGGGATAGGGGCTGGTGATGGGGGAAAGAAAGGCAGCCTTAGACTGGTTTCTAAGGGGCCAGCAGGTAATATAACTAGTGTGTGTGTAGCTGAGTTTAAGATACAGCAGGCCATGCTAATACTGGCACAGAGCACTAATCATACAGCTTATTAACAATGAGGTGAATAACTTTGAAATAAAGTTTTAGAGAAATATTTAAAAAAAAAAAAAAAAAGATACAGCAGCCCAGCTGGAGAGGAAGGATATGCCCCATCTAAATACATTCAGATTCATAGACTCTAGACACCATGCCGGCCAAACCAAACAAAGCTGCAGCCCTGTGGTTGGGCTGGGATGAAAAACGAATGGAGTAGAAGAACTGTAACCCAAAGACTCAGGTTAGCTCTCAGGAAGGACCTTCCGACTCTCAGGGTGGCATGCAATGGTGACGCAGTGGGCCCTGGAGATCAGAGGGCTTTGACTACCAGAAGACATGGCCTGATGCATGGGGCAGTTGGAAGCTTAGACGCAGAGTCAGGCTTGTTATCAGGGGAGTGCGAGGCTAAGCCTTACCACATGGGCCAGCCAAAGTGGCTTGAGCAGAGCAGAAGCCTCTCAAGAATAGCCTATGAGGGTCATAGGGTTGTCATGTGCAGCACTGGGCAACTGGAGTGTAGGATCAGGTGGAGAGCCCTAGACTGCTTCAGTATATGTGTGGATCTGGATGTTTCTGAACACTGCCCCTTTCCTTCAGTAGCCTCCCTGAAAAGCACCACATGGCTATGCAAACAGTAAACAGGTAGAGGGGGTGAGCAAGACAGAGGTCTGAGTGGCTCCAAGAAGGCCACACTCCAGACATGGAATTGGGTTTGCTGAAAGCCTTGGGTTGGGGTCCCAGCTGGACGACTGACTTGCTGTGTGACCCCTGGGCAACCTCCTTCACCACCTCAGTGCCATATGGGGCTTAATAAAACCTGCTTTGTCCTGATGATTAAATGGAGAGAGATAAGGAAGATACACTGTGCTTGGCTCATTAAAGGTGGTTGGCTTCATTTTTCCTTTATCTTTATCCCTCCTTTTCTTACCTCCTATACTTGTTTGCTGCTTTTCCCCCTTCCTTTTCTCTCTCCTTTCCTTTTTTCCCCTTATCCTCCTCTCCTTCTCCCCACCCCATATTTCTCTGCCTTCACTATAATATGTTGTCAATGCTGGACCCAAGCCTAGTGCCAAATTGGGCCTTTCAAGCAGAGGCAGGCCTGAAAGGCTGCTATGAGGTTTCCCATGGCTTCCTGCCCACCATGATGGTCCCAGGTACACAGGAGGGCTTTAGATGTAAAGTTGTAGAGGCAATCTTGCTAATTCTCCCTCCTCTCCCTGCTCTCTTTCCTTCAGAAAAAGAGGCAAAGCCGAGTCACATTTGATACCAAGGACTTCATTGCAGAGAAGGTATGCATAGGTAGAACCTTGCTGTGGGAGAATTTCCTTTCTGCACCCGGGCTTGGAAGAAACCCTGGCTGGGCATCAGCAGTGCTGGTTTCAGTCTAGGCTCTGCCACCAACTCAGCATATCACCCTGAGGTGGCCACTTCTTTTTCTTATCTATAAAATAGCCGATCTCAGTGATTCCTTCCAGCCCTCAGCTCCAAGACTGTGAGCATCTAGGAACCATCTGTCACTGCATAGTTGAGCAGAACCAATGGGAGAGAGTCCCTGGGCTTGGACCTATGGGGAAACAGCAGGCAAAAAAAAAAAAAAAAAAAAAAAATGCAGAGGATGTGAGAGTCCCAGAGAGAGAAAGAATTTGGGTGATGGGAAAAGGCTGACCTGTGTGTGAATTCTGGTTCTGCCCTGAACTCACTGAGAGATGCTGGGTACACCTCTCACACCTGGGTGTCAGATACCCTCAAAGAGTCTCATTCAGGTGCAGCATACCTGTAGGCACTTGGAAGGCTGAGGTAGGGGATCACTTAAGGCCAGGAGTTCAAGACTGCAGTGAGCTATGGTCACATCACTGCATTCCAGTCTTCATTGTAGAGCGAGACCCCCTCTCTAAAAAAACAGTATTCTCATTCTGATAAGGGAATGCTTTTATATCTGTGGGAGTTTTAGACTGTGTGACTTGCTCCCTGAATTTCAGCCTCATCATTGTTATCTTCTTGGATTCTCTCCATCATATCCTGGGTATTATATATTAAAATCCAATTTAAAATTTAAAAGAGACTACCTGTTTATCGGGAAGATCTGAAGTTCTCACCAGTGCAGACCTAACTTGACCCTGGCTTGGAGTACCCATGTTGGTTTTTTTCTCAGGGAATGGGAAAAGAACAGAACTTTATAATAGGTACCAGGGCCACTGTGTCCATCTCCTGCCCCACCCCTTTCACTTCTTGGAGCCCAGGTATGGCTTCTGTTCCCTGCCTCTCCTGGGCACAGCCTTATTTTGTCATGCCCCGTCCTGTATGAAGCATACTCAGTTAAGTCATCCAAATTCTGTGATATTCAGCTCTTTAGGCTGGCTAGTGTGTGACACTGGGCACTGAAGGTTAAACAAGCTCTATCCTTCAGACAGGAGAAACTAGGGGCCTGAGAGCCACAGAACTCTAGATAAGAGGCCAATTCTGTGCACTGCAGTAGAGGGAGGGAAGAGGGCACAAAGGGAAAATTCTTTGTTACGGGCAAGGCGTATAGGTGGCCCTTGAATGAATTATGCCTGACTCTGGTTCTAACATAGAGAAGAGTAGAGAGCCAATTTATCCTCCCATCTCAGCCTTCTGAGTAGCTGGCATTTACAGGTGTGCGCCACTGAGCCCAGTTGGAGACCCAATTTAAAAACCAGCCCCTTGGCCAGATGTGCTGGCTCATGCCTGTAATCCCAACACTTTGGGAGGCCAAGGAAGGAAGATTACTTGAGCTCAGGAATTCTAGACCAGTCTGAGCAATATAGTGAGACCCTGTCTCTACTAAAAAATAAAAGTAATTAGCTGGGCACGGTAGCTGACACCTGTAATCCCATAACTTTGGGAGACTGAGGTGGGAGGATCGCTTGAGCCCGGGAAATCAAGGTTGCAGTGAGCTATGACTATGCCACTACACTGCAGTCTGGGTGACAGAGCCCCTGTCCCCCTGTCCCCCACCCCCCAAAAACAAACAAACAAACAAAAAAAAGAGCCCAGCCCTTTGAGTGATGTTAATGAATATGGGGTTTCTTTGGGGTGATGAAAAGCTTACAAGGCCAGGCGTGGTGGCTCATGCCTGTAATCCAAGCATTTTGGAGGCCAAGATGGGAAGATCACCTGAGGTTGGGAGTTCAAGACCAGCCTGACTAACATGGTGAAACCCCGTCTTAGAAAAAAAAAGCTTCCAAAATAGTGTGGTGATTGTTGCACAACTCTGTGAATACACTAAAGCCACTGAATTGTACACTTTAAATGGTGACTTACAGGGTATGTGAATTATATCTAAATAAAAATGATATATAACATATAATATACACACCTATATAGTTATATAACCTACCCCTCAGCATACCATTTGGATCCTGATGGAAAAACTAAGCCTCAGTATAGCCTATATTAGGCTTCTCCTAACACTAAACTTCTCATAGAGAACCTTAGAATTGGAGAGGCTTGGAATCATAGACTTACTTATTGTAGCAACTGTGAGACAGTGGAAAAAATGGGTACATTTAAAAATACTGTGGGCCGGGCGCAGTGGCTCAAGCCTGTAATCCCAGCACTTTGGGAGGCTGAGGCGGGTGGATCACGAGGTCAAGAGATCGAGACCATCCTGGTCAACATGGTGAAACCCCGTCTCTACTAAAAATACAAAAAATTAGCTGGGCACGGTGGCACGTGCCTGTAATTCCAGCTACTCAGGAGGCCGAGGCAGGAGAATCACCTGAACCCAGGAGGCGGAGATTGCCGTGAGCCGAGATTGCGCCATTGCACTCCAGCCTGGGAAACGAGCGAAACTCCCTCTCAAAAAAAAAAAAAACAACAAAAAAAATAGTCTTATATATTCTGTGGGGGTGTGTGTATATATATATATATATGTATATGTGCGTATACATAAAAGTGGTAAACTCAGGTGGTGGGGAGCAGATCTGGGCTGGGGTGATGTATATGTACAAGAGGATTTTAACGATCTGTATTCTGATTTCTAATGGAAAAGATGTGTTATTTCCAAAAATTTTACTTATATCTAAGAAAAAATACAGGAAGTTAGTATGCCAGATGTTAATGGCTAATTTTGGGTGGTGGGATTATGGGCAGTCATTTGCAGTCCTTCTTTCTTGCTCCTTCCTGTCTGCTGGAGGAACACAGTAGAGGTATGGCTGGCCTCCAGTGAGTGAAGGGAAAATGGTGAGAAATGGTATTTAAGAAGCAGACAGGGGCTTCTCTAGTCTCCTAGGCCCTATTTGAAGTGTATTCCCCCATCCCAGACATTTTTTTGAGCTCCTAAGGCCTAGATCTGTCTGTAGTCGTGAGGAATACTAGGTTGTGTGACATCTCCACCCTGCCAGTGAACAGCTAATTAGGAGTTATTATGAGACTTAACTAGTAATTTACCCACTTCCATGATAATGACATTAATCCATTCGTTAAGGCAGAGCCCTTGTGACCTAATTACCTCTTAAAGGTCCTACATTTACAATTTCTTTATAGAAACAAGGTCTTGCTATGTTGCCCAGGCTGGTCTCAAACTCCTGGCCTCAAGCAATCCCCTCACCTTGGCCTCCCAAAGTGTTGGGATTGATTACAGGCATGAGCTACTGTGCCCAGCCTTCACTTCTTAATAATGTTGCAATGGCAATAATATTTTGACACAAGTTTTGAAGGGGACGTTCACCCTATAGCAAGAGCCTACTGAGGGAGAAGGGGCTATTCTTTTAGCTAAGATGACCCAGTGGGGACTCACTGAGGGTGTGGTAGCATCTGAGCTGGGACCAGAATGATAGGGAGGCTGCTGTGTCCATAGAAAACCCAGGGGACAAATATTCCAGGCAGAAAAAAACAGCTCAGGTGGAGACCTCAAGACAGAGCCAAGCTTAGCACGTGCCAGGGACAGAATAGAGAACAAAGGGGAGAGGTAGGAGAAGAGGTTGGAGAGAAGCCATTGAGGGGTGTTCACAACTCACAGTGCCGCTTTCTCAGCAGGTGGGAGTGGTAGGTGAATGTACTGGTCCATGAGTCCTGGTTCACTGGAGAAGAAAAGATTTAGCTAATAGTCTCTGGAAGGTTCTCTTTGCTCCGTCTCCTGTAGCACACCAAGGTATAGACTGAGACATGGGCGAAGGTCTCCCCTGACTGCTGTGTGTGTGTGCTGAGCAGACTCTGCAGGACCCTTGGAGCCCAGAAAGCCTGTATTTCCTGGGAAGGTAAATGAACAGCACAGGTCAGGGGGATGTCAGTACTGATTTGTGGCAGATCAACTCCTAATCTGCCTGAGTTTCTTCATCTGTCAAATGGAATTTGTTCTTGGGCTGGTGAGGATGCAGTGAGATGGGCAAGTGAAATGTTTGTCCCAGTGCCTGACACACAGTAAGCACTCATCACATGTCAGCCATTGTGGTACAGGGAACTAGTACAAGCAGGACTGTTGGGTGTTGCCCTCTGGCCCATGGGCGAAACTGCTGGGTCCCCTGTGTCACTCTGGTTCTCTCTCCCCAGGGTCACTTTCCTCCAAGAGCTATTCAGATCATGCAGAAGAAGCCTTCCTGGAGGACAGAGGATGAGGTCCAGGCTGTCTGTAACATCTTACAGGTTCTGGATAGCTATCGGAACTTTGAGGAGCCCCTACAGCTGCTCCTGGCCAAAGTCATGCGCTTTGAACGGTCAGTGATGGGCCCTTTGCCACCAGGCTGAGGCTAGGCTGAGCCAAAGAGCCTGGCTCAGGTGTGGGCAGTTCTTTCCCACCCCTCTGTATAGTGTCAGCCATAAAGTCTTCTGCCCATTCACTTTAGCACCCACTGCTATGGTCACAGCACCATTTATCTCACTCACTTATTGAGACTTTTAGAGAATTAAAGGACCATTAAATCTGGAGAGGATCTAGTAGGAACCTCAGAGGGGATCTGGTCCGATTCCCTCATTTTTCAGATGAGGAAACTGAGGCTCTCTGGGGGAAAATGGCCCCTTCTAGGTCACCCAGACAATAAGAAGCAGAGCTGAAACTCAAATTTAGGCTCTGAAAGTCAGGATGGATCACAGTTGATTGTACCATAATCTAAGTAGGCGCTAGCACACGGTCTGTGAACTTGAATGAGAAATGTCTCTATTTCCATTAACTTCTAGATGAAATTATTATTTCCTTCAGTCATGAATATAGGCAACAAACCACTGTCATATTAGCTGTCCCTGTTGACTTTTTCACTGAAAGAAATCACAGATATTTTCACATCATATTCAAGTTGGAGATTTCTCAAAAAATTTATGTTCATCACATCTTCAAAATTATGGTAGTTACTAGATCTGCTGCTATCTTGTTATTCAGTGTCTTAATAAAGATACAAATATATTGCTTTATCAAAAATTTGGTTTAAAAAACATTTGTTAACTGTAATTATGCTGGATTTTATTTTCTCCATTTAAAACATGATTTTGTGTATGCTTTACCAGATCGTCAAAGGGTCCATGATACAAGAAGTGCTATGTAAATGCCATATACTAGAAAAGTGTAAGAGGTACATATGGAAATACTGCCATTTCCAGGCTATCTCAATGGCTTCAAGAGGGGCAGCCTAGCAGAATATTTGGGGTAAGGCTTGTTTTGAAAATACAAGATATGTCTGGGCATAGTGGCTCATGCCTATAATCCCAGCACTTAGGGAGGCCAAAGTGGGAGGATCACTTGAGCCAAGGAGTTCAACCAGCCTGGACAACATGGTGAGACCCCATCTCCACAAAAAATTTTTTTAATTAGGTAGGCATGGCAGTGGTGGTGGCATGCACCTGTAGTCCCAGCTACTTCAGAAGCTGACACTGGATCACTTGAGCCTGGGAGATTGAGGCTGCAGTGAGCAGTGATTGTGCCACTGGACTCCAGCCTGGGCTACAGAGCAAGACCCTGTCTCAAAAAGGAAAAAAAAAAAAAAAAAAAAGAAAGAGGCTGGGTGCGGTTGCTCATGCCTGTAATCCCAGCACTTTGGGAGGCTAAGGCGGTTAGATCATGAGGTCAAGAGATCAAGACCATTCTGGTCAACATGGTGAAGCCCATCTCTACTAAAAATATAAAAATTAGCTGGGCGTGGTGGTGTACGCCTGTAGTCCCAGCTACTCAGGAGGCTGAGGCGGGAGAATTGCTTGAACCTGGGAGGTGGAGGTTGCAGTGAGCCAAGATCACACCACTGCACTCCAGCCTGGTGACAGAGCAAGACTCTGTCTCAAAAAATTAAAAAAAAAAGAAAATCCAAGATTTAAGGTGACTATAGGTTTGTACCCTAGTATCTTCCTTTATGGAGGTCACAGTCTAAGGCATAAGTACAACTAACTACAGATTTTCAGACCCTTTATGATCAGTGCAGATGCTCCCAGCTGGCTTGGTCAAGAGTTTCATAGAAGTTACGTTTGAATGGGTAGCTTTGACAGGTGGAAATGTAGATGAGGACATTCCAGGCAGAGGGGACCATTTGCTTTGTTCTAGCCCAGTGACGAAGAGTGAGTCACCACTGTCTATAAAGTAAGATTCTATGCTGGGCAGAGTGGTATCATGGAAAGAAAAAGAACCGTGGCACTAGAAGCTCTGGAGGTTTTGTTGTTTTTGTTGACAGGGTCTTGCTCTGTCACCCAGGCTGTAGTACAAGGGCATGGTCAAAGCTCACTGCAGCCTGGACCTCCCAGGCTCGTGATCCTCCTGCCTCAGCCTCCAGAGTGGGACTACAGGCACACCACACCCAGTTATTTCTTTTAAATTTGTTTTTAGTAGAGATGAGTTTTTGCTATATTGCACAGTCTGGTCTTGAACTCCTAAGCTCAAGCTACCCTCCTGTCTTAGCTTCCCAAAGTGCTGAGATTACAGGTGTTAGCCACTGTGTCCAGCTGAAACTCTGGAATTTAATACCTCATGTGCCCCATGTGACCTCAGGCAAGCCACTTAACCTTTCTGAGCCCAGTATCCATATCAGTGAAATAAGGATAATAATACAGATTTTTATGAATTTTATTAAGGATATTAATAAGATTTGGGGGAAGATCAATTAAGGTGGTTACCGTGAAAGACCTCTGCTAGTTGTGGTTTATTGCTGGGACTGGGAATTAGCATCTTAGATAGGATTCTTCCAGTTGCAAGTATTTGAAAACCCAGCTTAAGGGAATGTATTCATGGCCCTTGTATCTGCAAAGTCCTGGGACAGTTCTCCAGCTTCAGGCTGGCTGGAATTCAGGGGCACAGTGTCTACCTGTCTCTGTCTATCTCTTGGCATGTTGTTCATATAAGCGTCATCTTCTGCCAGCTCTCCCCTCATAGTGGTAAGATGGCTGCCGCAGTCTCAGCTCCAAACTTATCTTTTTAGTTTTAGTCTGATGGAAAGAAAGAAAAACTCTTTTCAATCACTCTTATCAGAACTTGGGATGAATTCTTTCTGAACCAGCTTGGCTTTGCTTGAATTATCTCTGAGGTCAGTGATGCTCTCTGATTGAGAGTTGAGGAAGGGTAGTTTCCCCAAAGGATAATCAGGCTGTGGTTGGTTGAAAAATGTGACCAGAATGCTTGACAGCAAAAGCAATAGATGTCTGCTCTCAAAGATTCAGGTTCTAGTGTTGACTTGAGTGTGGCTTGCTTTGACCTTCTGCAAGCTGCGGGCTCCTTGAGTCTCCCTTTCCCCTTCCCAAAAGTGTTGGTTGAACTCGATAGTCTCTGAGGGTCTTTCTGGCTCTAGCTCTAGTCATTTTTACTCAATGAACGCTGACCTGTGCTCCCTCATCTTCAAAATATCATTTCCTAGCTGAATATTCCTGCTGTCTCCCAGCTGGTCATTGTCACCTGGGCCATCTCTTTCTTTTTTGATTATTATTATTTTTTGAGATGGGTCTTGTCATGTCAACCAGGCTGGAATGCAGTGGTGCAATCACAGCTCACTGCAGCCTCTACCTCCCAGGCTCATGTGAGCCTCCTACCTCAGCCTCCTTAGTAGCTGGGGCAAGAGGTAGGTGTCACCATTCCTGACTAATTTTATTTTTTATTTTTCATAGAGATGAAGTCTCACTATGTTGCTCAGGCTGGTCTTGAACTCCTGAGCTCAAATGATTCTCCCACCTTAGCTTCCCAAAATGCTGGAATTACAGACGTGTACTACTGTGCCTGGCCTGCCTCTTTCATACATTGATAAAGATTCTGGGCTGATACTGGTTTGTAGCTCATCAAGCCCACAGCCAGAATGGAGCCTGGGCAGTACTGACTCCAGGCTAGCGTGGCCATCTGTCCATCCCCTGATCCCTTTCCTCAGGAGTTTGCCACAGAATCATGAGGCCAGTGGGTGCTCTAAGAGGTCAGAAGAAGAGGTGCTGCTGGGGGCTGGGTCAGGGAAGGCTTCCTGGAGGAAGTAGCATTTGAGTTCCTGAAAGGATCTGAACAGTGAAGAGAGGGAAGACCATTTCAGGCAGTAGGGCAACATGAACAAACTGATGAAACAAAAGGCATACATATCATCTGCCCTGAGCAGGGTGTTGGTTCCCCTGCTGCTGGTGAAGCCAGTGAGTCAGGAAGGAACAGAAGGTAGCAGTGTGGAGGGGAGGAGGAAGAGGAGGATCTGCTGAAGGCAGGGCCATGAGCTCAGAGTTGGGGGAAATGACCCTGCCATCAGGGCACTTACACAGTGGCTGCTCATCAGTTCTGGCAGAGACTAAAGGGCAGACTTTTGGGCTCCCCGTTGTCTCCTGGGTAAAAGCCAAACTTAGCTGGGCTTTGAAGGCCCTTTATGGTCAAATGATTAAATTTCTCTCCTACCACTCCCCTGACCTTGCCTTCTTCTCCCATTTTCCTTTCCCGTGAAGTAACATTATCTATGAAGTGCACAGTATTCCTTGAATATATCATCCTTCGGGCCACCTCTGCACCTTTGGTCATGGTAGTCCCTGTGCCTGGTACCCTCTTCCATCTCTTTGTCCACCTGGATCACTCACTCCAGGTACCATGCTAGAGCCTTGTCTGACCTCCCTAAGCTGGGATAAAGGCCCCTTCTCTGTGCTCCCCAAATAGCCTGCACTGACATCTCTTAAAGCACTTCAAAACCTCATTTACATACTCTGTGTGACCATAATTTTGAAAACAAAGTCTATGTTGTTCATTGTGCCTATTTTTTTATTTTTTTTGAGACAGAGTCACCAGGCCGGATACAATGGTGTGATCATGGCTCACCATAGCCCTAAACTCCCAGGCTCAGGTGATCGTCCCACCTCAGCCTTTCATGTAGCTGGGACTGCAGGTATGCATCACCACACCTGGTTACTCTTTGCATTATTTGTAGAGATGGGCTTTCACCATGTTGCCCAGGCTGCTCTCAAACTCCTAGGCTCAAACGATCCTCCCACCTTGGCCTCCCAAAGCGCTGGGATTACTGTTGTGTACCACCACACCTGACCTCACTGTGCCTAACAGACACAGTTGATATTTATTTAACTTGCTGAATGAATGAAGGAAATGAATAAAGATTGAAAGAATTGAGATTTGGACTTGCATATGAAATACAGAAACTTCCCTTTGAGTTTAAGAACTCCTTGTTTGCTCTGGACCTGGGCACCTCTACCCTAAGGGTGCCCAGTTGGGTAGTGAGCTGCTGGCAGTTATCATGAGGCCATTATCTGTGTCTCATTCTAGGTGTACTCATCTGCATTTTACAGACAAGAGAAACCAAGGATCAGAGAGGGGATGTCCATTGCTCAGTGTCACACAGCTAACAGCAGAGCCAGGATTTGGATCCTGGGCTAATGCTAAAGCCAGTCCTTCTAATCGCTTAGAGACTCTAGTAACCCATTCATTGCTTTCAGCATGTGTTCACTCATTTATTCCACTGCGTTCACTGAGCATTCACTGTGCCGAAGCACACACAGCAGCGACCCAGACTGGCAAACGCTCTGCTCTAAAGAAGCTTCATTCCAACCGAGGCAGGCAATGGGATAAATGTCAGTGAAAGGCTCCAGCTTGATTGGCAGGCTGGGCTGTCCTGAGGGCCCTTCTGGTACAAGTCTGTGCTCTTACACCCCAGAGCAAAGAGACAACCAGTCCAGAGCTCCTCCCAGTGTGGACTGGCCCCTGTGTCACTACCCAATCAACTGGCAATAGTCTTTTCCCAGGTTTGGTCGCAGGCGTGTGATCATCAAGAAGGGGCAGAAGGGCAACAGCTTTTATTTCATCTACCTGGGTACAGTTGCAGTGACCAAGGATGACGACGGCAGCAGTGCCTTCCTAGATCCCCACCCGATATTGCTGCACAAGGGTGGCTATTTTGGGGTAAGCCCAGGGGAAGGACCTGGCTTCCTGGGGTGGAGTGGGTGGAGGTGACAGGACTCCTGCTAGAACCTCTCAGCCAGGCCCAGTCTTGCCTAGTACTCTGTGCACATCACTGTCCTGTATGGGCCCCAGTGCCCTTACCTGTCAAATGCCAATTGAGTTGGACCAAGATCAGCCTCTTCATCTGTGATGTTTAAGGAGTATGTTCCTGATACAGCCCTTTAGAGATGCAGTGACTCCACAGTGAGGCCTCTCTAGCTTCTTACCCTCTGGACTGTTCAGGCCTGTTGCCTCTTTTTCCATAAGCAGCAGATTAAGAAGAAGGAGACTGGGCCCCAGTGGGAGAATATGCAGGAGGATAGAGGGGGCTGGGGAACATGCAGTCTGGGGAGGAGAGAATTCAGGGGGAAGATGGAGGCAGGGAAGATGTGTGTAAGCCTGAGAACAGGAAGTGGAGGTGGCTTCACACTTGCCCTTGCCCTGTCCACCCAACAGGAAATGGGCCTTCTGGATGCTTCAGTGAGGAGGGCCACCATTGTCTGTATGGAAGAAACGGAGTTCCTGGTTGTTGACAGGGAGGACTTCTTTGCTTATAAGCTGGACCAGGAAGTTCGGAAGGATGCTCAGTGTCAGTTTGAATTTTTTAGGTAACTCTACCTTCATTCAACATTTTTTCCCCTTATGTGTTATTAGGTGCTTGACTTTGTCTGTCCTAGGCCTGGTGGGAAACATACTGGTTGCTGTTGTCTTGGATCTGCTGAAGTCCCACCTCCCACCAACTTTCTCTGTCTGCAGACTCCTACTATACCTTCAGGCCTCAGCTCAAATATCCCTTTCTTATTGAAAATAATAGTAAGAATAGCAAACACGGGACTGGGCACAGTGGCTCACTCCTGTAATCTCAGCACTTTGGGAGGCCAAGGTGGGAGGACCCTTGAGCCCAGGTGTTCAAGACCAGCCTGGGCAACATAGTGAGATCCTGTCCCTACAAAGTAAAAAATTAAAAAAAAATAGCTGAATGTGGTGATACATACCTATAGTTTCAGCTACTTGGGAGGCTGAGGTGGGAGGGTCACTTGGGCCCAGGAGTTCGAGGCTGCAGTGAGTTGTGATCACATCACTGCACTCCAGTCTGGGTGACAGAGCACTATTCTAATAGCTAGGACTACAGATGTGCTACCACATCCAGCTAATTTTTCTATTATTTGTAGAGACGGAGTCTTGTTATGTTGCCTAGGCTGGTCTTGCACTCCTGGTCTCAAGTGGTCCTGCAGCTTTGGCCTCCTAAAGTGCTAGGATTACAGACATGAGCCCCCATGCCCAGCCTGAACTGTAATTCTTTTTCTTTTTTGAGACAGGGTCTTGCTCTGTCGCCCAGGCTGGAGTGCAGTGGCGCGATCTCAGCTCAATCCTTCTGCCTCAGCCTCCCACATAGCTGGAATTATAGGCACACGCCATCACTGCTGGCTAATTTTTTTATATTTTTAGTAGAGACAGAGTTTCACTGTGTTGGCCAGGGGGATCTCGAACTCCTGACCTCAAGTGATCTGCCTGCCTCGGCCTCCCAAAGTGCTGGGATTACAGGCATAAGCCACCATGTCTGGCCCAAACTATAATTCTTGATTGCATAGTAATTTCCTTACAGTTTCTATGCCCCCTCAGACAGTAAACAATATGGTGACGGGGACCAGCTCTGTCTTTGTCACTGCTGTAATCCTTATGTTACCACACTGACAGACACATCCAGGTGCTCAACAAATAAATATTGAGTAAGATGAATAACAGGATATAAATAATTACAACCATGTGTGAGTCAGAAAGTAAGCACCATAACTATGGGTATTACATTTAACCTAAAAGCAGAACTCATACATAGCAAAAGATTTTTGTTTTTCAAATACTTATGTACATGAAAGGCCACATAAGGATATACAAATAAAATCTCATTTAATTACTCTTTAGTTATTTGCCTTTATGTAAAAGAGTAAAAAATCCAACAAAGTATCTGCACTGGCCCTAAAAATTCAGGTTGTAGGGCTGCAGAGCTACAGAGAGGTGAGATGGCCAAGGGGTCTGGTTCCTGTGGTTGGGGCTGAGAGAGGTAGTTCCATCCCCTGGAAAAGTGGGGATTTAGTCCTAAAGGGAGAAGTTGTTCTTTTTTTTTACTGTGGAAAAATAGGTCTGGCTCCAATCTCAGCTCTTAGGTTATCAGCAACGTGACCCTGGATAGGTCATGTCATTTTTCTGTGCTTTAGCCTCCTGCTCTGTAAAATGGGGGTAAGAATATCCTTCTCCCAAGGCCATGGTGAGGATGGAATGGGATGATCGTAGGAAGTATGTGGCCCAGTGGTTGGTGTATGGTAGGTACTCCTTCTATGGTGGCCCTACTTTTCTTCTGGTGTCTCCAGACCTTTGTCCCAGGCATGGCACTGACTGTGTTCACCTCTGGTGCCAGGTGCACATTGAGGCCTGAGTCACCTTGAGTTAACCTGATATGATGAACTCAGTCCACCTGAGTCAGTTAAGTTTGGAGCCCTTAACCTGTTGGAGGTGAGAAAATCTGAGATGATTGTTGTCAACCCTTGGAGCCACATATGAAGGCAGGCAAGCCTGTGAGGGTGGTAGTCAAGGTCAAGGGAAGGGCAGTCACTGTGGGGTGGCCTCAGCCATGGGGAACAACAGGCAGAAAGAGGGGAGTCCAGACATGTCCTTCTCCCCAGGCCCAGAGTTGAGTATTTGAAGTCAGCAGGCCAGGGGGAGACAGGGGTTGGACGAGCTCCCCAAAGCAAAGGTAGGACCAGAACCACTAAGCTAGGGGACAGAACAGCCATGAGCTGGAGTGGGGACTAGCTTCATGAGCCACGGTGGGGAGGGGCAGCAGGGCTGGAGGAGAAGAAGTTTCTTGGAAAGAGGAGCAGAGGTGAGAAAAGCACAGAGGCTGGATCACCCAGGGGCATCTGAGCAGCAGCAAAGAGGGGAGCTAGGCTGGAAGGGAGGGCCTTGGGAATGGTGGAGAGAGCCAAGGCGATAGCAGGTGATAGCCAAGGTGATAGTGGCTACAGGCGAGGCCAGGTGATCAGGCAGGTAGCAGTGAATTCTTTCACCTGGTCATCTTCCACTGGAGAAGAGCATGTGCTCTCTGCAGATTGCTAAGGTGGTGGAGGTGATGAATTCTAACAGGTTTTTCCCACAGGAAGATGGACCTGTTTGCATCATGGTCTGATAAGAAGCTCTGGCAGCTCATAGCCATGGCAAAGATAGAGAAGTTCTCATATGGGCAGCTGATCTCAAAAGACTTTGTAGAGTCATCCTTTATCATGTTTATCAGCAAGGTGAGCAGGCTGGACGTTGGGGTGAGGGTGAACCTCTGAGGAGCATGCCTAAGATCATGTCCTGTGACCTAATGGTCAGAGTCTGAGCCCCTTTTTGCAATCTGTGCAATTCACTCCCTTTTCTGAGTTTTCATGTCCCAACTGTAAGATGCCTGCCTCTCTGAGTGTGGCTGGAGACATTAAGATACACGGCAATTGGGCTTGGTGGCACCTGCCTTTAATCCCAGCTACTCAGAAGGCTGAGGAAGGAGAATCACTTGAACCCAGGAGGTGAAGGTTGCAGTGAGCTGAGATTGCACCACTGCACTCCAGCCTGATGGGAGCAAGACTCCATCTCAAAAAAAAAAGAAAAGAAAAAATAATGTGAGTGTGAGAAATAGAACAATATATCACAAGTCAGATTTAATAACATTGAATTTATTGGGAAGAGACTGGATTGGGATGCAACTTCATTTGTCCAATCATGGTTGAGTTGCAAGTATAAACTACAAGAGTACAGCCAAATCCACAAAAGAATTCTGTGAGAGGCTGGGTGCGGTGGCTCACGCCTGTAATCCCAGCACTTTGGGAGGCGGAGGTGGGTGGATCACGAGGTCAAGAGATTGAGACCATCCTGGCCAACATGGTGAAACCCTCTCTATAAAAAAAAAAAAAAAAGAATTCTGTGAGAGCTGATTGGCTGAATGGAATTTCCTGTATGGTATATATATTTATCATTTTCTTGTATGGTATATCTTATTATTTATAAATTGTATGTAACACATTCTTTATAACATTAAAGTTTATATACATGCATATGTTTTTCAGGAGAGCTGGTTGTTAAACTTGCCAGCACCACTAGGGGAGTGGTGTGTGTGTTGTTATTTTCGACTCAGTCCCAGAGAACAGAATCAAGTCTAGTTAATATAAGTAGCAAAAGATTGATTACCAGATGTCAATTGAAAGTTCCTTCTCCTCCCTCATATCTTCTTCTTCTTTGCTGAAATTTTGAGGTGATCACCTCTGCCATGTCTCCAAATTTAACTCTAAGCTCTTCGATATTATACAGTCGGGAAAGATGGGGGAATGTGTGGTGAGGGACAGAAATTCTTTCCAGCATTTTCTTTAATCAGAATAATGATTACATTCTGACTGGCAGGAAGTTGGGGGTGGATCTTCATCTGTTTTGCCTCCATTGCTTCATCTATGAAATGGAACCACTCACGCTGTAAAGTCTGTTTAAGGATGAGAATCAGTTTAGCAAATGCTTCGCCAGTGAGCATTCCTCCTGCAAGCCAGTGGTTCTCAAAGTGCTGTTACTGGACCAGCGGCAGCACCAGCAGTACTTGGGAACTCATTATTATTTCTTCCTCCTCCTCCTCCTCTTCTTCTTCCTTTTTTTTTATTTTTTAAGACAGGGTTTCACCATATTAGTCAGGCTGGTCTTGAACTCCTGACTTCAGGTGATCCACCCGCCTCAGCCTCCCAAAGTGCTGGGATTACAGGTGTGAGCCACTACGCCCGGCTTTTTTCTTCCTCTTCCTCTTCTTCCTCTTCTCCTTCTTCTCCTTCTTTCTTCTTCCTCTTCCTCCTCTTCTTCTTTTTTTTTTTTTTTTTGAGTTGGAGTTTCACTCTTGTTGCCCAGGCTGGAGTGCAATGGCATGATCTTGGCTCACTGCAACCTCTGCCTCCCAGGTTCCAGTGATTCTCCTGTATCAGCCTCCCAAGTAGCTGGGATTACAGGCGCCTGCCACCACACCTGTCTAATTTTTGTATTTTTAGTAGAGACAGGGTTTTGCCATGTTGGCCAGGCTGGTCTCAAACTCCTGACCTTCAGGTGTTCAGCCTGCCTCAGCCTTCCAAAGTACTGGGATTACAGGCATGAGCAACCATGCCCAGCTTGGAACTCATTTCAAAACGCAAATTCTCAGGCCCCCTGCCAAGAGCTACTCAATCCATAACTCTAGGAGGAAGGGCTCAGTGATCTGTGTTTTAACAAGGCTTCCAGTGATTCCAATGGACACTGATGTAGGAGAACCTCTGTCCTAGGGGAGGAATTCTCAAATTTTGGTAAGCATACAAATACATAGGGTGCTTTTTAAAAAGGCAGATTGCTGTCTAACCCCAGCGATTGATTTATTAACTCTGGTATCTGCAGTTGAGTAAGTGCTGCAAGGGATTAATGCAGGTGTGCTGAGCCTTCCTTCTGAGAAACATAATGTGGAAGTCACTAAAGGGCAGCAAGGTGAGTGCTCTTGGCCAGAAGATGAGTCTGGTTTGTTCTTTACAGTGTTTTATAAAGTTTGATTTAATCATCAATGTGAAGATTTTACATAAAAATTCTGATTTCTGGCTTTTGAGAATTCAGAGGATCAGGTAACACTAAACCATATTTTGGTACAGCTCCCACCTCTGGCTGGAAATGAGAAGCACCAGCCCCCTCTAAAGGACTGCTCTTTTTTTTTTTTTTTTTTTTTCTTACTTGGCCAGCGTTTTGAGTGTTCATCTCTGGAAGGAGATCAAGCTGTCCCGACTCTTGTAGTTAACTCATATTGCCACTAGAGGGCAAAATCAGCTGCGGGTGACTGGACACCCTAGGGACCTCCGAAAGCTGGAGATTTCCTTTTGGCATTGAAAACTTAATGCCCACTATCAACTCATTTCTAACAGTTTATCATTGAGGGACACATAGTGGAACTGTTTTCTCCATAGATACAATTGAAGACTCACTAAATACTTGAGGAAACCAGGCTCATGTTGTTTCTCTGGGACCTGCAATTCCTCTGTCTCAAAAAAGAAAGGATGCATAAAGATTTCAAATCTAAACCTTACAGCTTCATAAATTTTTATATATGTATACACCTGTGTGATCACTGCCCAAATCAAGATAAAGAATATTTCCACTACTCCAGAAGGCTCTCTTGTGCTCGCTCCTTCCTAGACAAAATCTCCCCACAAAGCTTACCACTCATAACTTTTGCATGTTTTGAACTTCATATAAATGGAATCATACAGTGTGTACTCCTTGTGTCTGACTTCTTTTGCTCAACTGAATATTTTTTATTTTAAATTTTATAAATTATGGTGTACATAGAATAATATGTAACCCTTAAAAATGATACTATAGAACTATATTGTTTGGCATGAAAAGAGGTCTTTGATATATTATTGAGTTTCTAAAAAAATTACGAGTCTGTTTTACATACATGAACTCATTGATAAAAGATTGTAGATATACATCTTTTTTTTCCTCTCTGATGCTTGGGAAGATATACATCTTATATGTTCATAGAGAAAAGTTTGAAATTTTCACTAATACGTTACTACTGGTTATTTCTGGGTGTCAGGATTAATGTAGTTTTTACTTTCTCTGTGTTTTTCTGTTTGGTCTGAATATTTTTAAACTTAATTTTGGAATAATTTTAAATTTATAGAAAAATTATGAGAACAGTACAAAGAACTTCTGTTGCTGGGACTACAGGCATGCACCACCATGCCTAGCTAATTTTTTCTTTTTTTTTTGAGAGGGAATTTTGCTTTTGTTGCCCAGACTGGAGTGCAATGGTGCAATCTCACCTCACTGCAAACTCTGCCTCCCCAGTTCAAGCGATTCTCCTGCCTCAGCCTCCTGAGTAGCTGGGATTACAGGCACCTGCCACCACACCCGGCTAATTTTGTATTTTTAGTAGAGATGGAGTTTCTCCATGTTGGTCAGGCTGGTCTCGAACTCCTGACCTCAGGTGATCCACCCACCTTGGCCTCCCAAAGTGCTGGGATTACAGGCATTAGCCACTGTGCCTAGCTTAATTTTTGTATTTTTAGTAGAGACAAAATTATTTTGTATTTTTGTCATGTTGGCCAGGCTTGTCTTGAACTCCTGGGCTCAAGTGATCGTCCTGCCTCAGCCTCCCAAAGTACTGGCGTTACAGGTGTGAGCCACTGTGCCTGGCTTATATTTAGTTCTTATGCTTCTTCAGTTACTTGAACTTATTATGGTGGGTAAATAACACTTTCATTAAAAAATAAAAATAAAAAAAGAACCAGGGTGGGTGTGGTGGCTCATGCCTGTAATCCCAGCACTTTGGGACGTTGAGGCAGACAGATCACTTGATGTCAGGAGTTCAAGACCAGCCTGGCCAACATGGTGAAACCCTGTTTCTATTAAAAATACAAAAATTAGCCACGCATGGTGGCACATGTCTATAATCCCAGCTACTCAGGAGGTTGAGGCAGGAGAACCACTTGAACTCAGGAGGCAGAGGTTGCAGTGAGCCGAGATTGCCCCATTACACTCTATCCAGCTTGAGTGACAAAAGTGAGACTCCATCTCAAAAAAAAAAAAAAAAAAAGAAGCTGAAACCACTTGCATTAAGCAAATAAAACAAAATGAGATAAGATGCAATTCAGAGAAATTTTCTTCAAATCCTGGCCTGCTTGGAGCCTTAGGGGTTAACCCTTTTGCTGTGTCCCTTGCTATTTCCAGGGCAGCTGTGAAGTCCTGCGGCTGTTGGACCTTGCTGCCTCCCCTTCCTACCACAAGTGGGTCTGGCAGCACCTGGAGCTGATCCATGACAGGCCTCTGATGACCCACCTAAGTGGTAAGCTGCCTAGCCCATCTGACAGCAGGGGGCGACTGGGCCCATCCTGTTTCCAGTTCCCAGGCCATAAGCCTTAGAAATCTAGAGCCAGCTGGCCTGACAGGTTATCTCCTCTGCGCCCTTCCATGGAAACCAGGGTATCTCATCAGCACCCAGCCATGGAAATCTGGTCTGCAAGGCCCTCCCCTCCTTTCCAGTCTCTCTCTCTTTTTTTTTTTTTAGCCTTTTCCCTTTTGCTTTTCAGGTTCTTTCACATGACCATCGACTCCTTGCCTCACATATCCCCTGCCCTTTTTTTCACCCAGCTCTCTTCTGCTTTTTAAAATCTGTTTATTTATTTATTCATCCTGTCTCTGGGTTTGCCTATGATGGACTTTTCGTATAAATAGCACCATACATTATGTGGCTTTTTGAGTCTGACTTCCTTCACTGAGCACCAGGTTTTCAAGGTCCATTTATGTAATAGCACATATCATTTCTTCATTCTGTTTTATGGCTGAATAATATTCTCATGTATGCTCTTAGAAATCTATACTACATTTTTGTTTGTCCACTTATCCGTTGATGAACATTTGGATTGTTTTCACTTCTTGGCTGTTTTGAAATGTTGCTGTGAACATTTGTATACAAGTTTTTATGTGACCATATTTTTCAGTTCTCTTGGGTATTACTTATATGGCTAGGAGTGGGATTTCTGGGTCATATGGTATCTTAGTCCATTTGCCATTTCTATAACTAAATATCTGAGACTGGGTAACTTAGAAAGAAAATAAATATTATTCTTATAGTTCTGGAGGCTAGGAAGTCTGAAGTTGAGGGGCTGCATCTGGTGAGGGCCTTCTTGCTGATGGGGACTCTTCAAAGTTCCAAGGCAGCAAAGGGCATCACATGGAGAGGGAGTGCGTCTGTTTCTCAGATGTTAGACTACACATCTTTCCTTGGAGAAGTCTTCCTGGTTTCTCATGATGGACCAGATCTTCCATCCTCTGTTATGTCCCATTCAAGTACTCTTCTGTTTTATGTAACCCCACTGAAATCATACAACTAAGTCTGAAATGGTTATAAACATTTGTTTCCGTAGCTAGAATATAAGCTCTATAAGGGCATTGCATTCCCAGGGCCTCGTATCATGCCTGGCATCTAGTAAGTGCTCAGAAGCGAATTACAGGGTTAATGGATAAACATATTTCTGCTGCTGTGTGTGATTTGGATGCATCTTCAGGCTGTAAATGTGTGTGCACTCTCCACAGCCTTAACCAAACTCATGTATCTAGTAACAAGTATGAAACCAGTGATCATTTATTGAGTTCTGATTATAGGTTTATTATATTGAGCTTGACTGTTTATACATATTGCATAATTCTCATAATAACTCTTTTTTTTTTTTTTTTTTTTTTTGGAGACAGAGTCTTGCTCTGTTGCCCAGGTTGGAGTACAGTGGTGCAATCTCAGCTCACTGCAACCTCCACCTCCCAGGTTCAGGTAATTCTCCTGCCCCAGCCTCCCAAGCAGCTGAGAGTACAGGGACACACCACCATGCCCAGATAATTTTTGTATTTTTAGTAGAGACGGGATTTCACCATGTTGGCCAGGCTGGTCTTGAACTCTTGACCTTAAGTGATCTGCCCGCCTCAGCCTCTCAAAGTGCTGGGATTATAGGCGTGAGCCACTGTGCCTGGCTTAATAACTCTTTAAGAAGGTATGATTGCACCATTTGACACATGAGGAAACTGGCTCATAGGGCGAATAAGTAGCAACGTAGGACTGTAGAGCTGGGATTCTAACCCAGGCGCAACTGGTTCCAAAGCCCAGACTTCTTTCTCTTCATAAACGTCTCCAGCCTTCCTCAGTCTCCATTTGCTGTTGTTGGACATAGACGTTGTCAAGTAGCAGCCCCTAGAACTGGCCAGGGTAATAACCAGGTTTCCTGATTCTAGGGTATATTGTTTCCATTCACAACTCTGTGTTGGCATTTTTATTTATGTTTTTCCCCTTCCATCCTCTGCAAATCTTTTTGTCTCACCCACTTGGATCAAGAACCGCAGCCCTCAGCAGACATTTGCAGTGACTCAGGTGTCTTACCTCTTACCTTGTGCCCACTACTGGTGTGCTTGCCCCACATCCCTTGAAATTGTCATCTGTGTATCCTGGGCCCTCCTCCCCAAGGATTGCCTTACAGATACAGCCAGTCCTCTTGAGATTAGAACTGAGGCTAACACAGGGAGGCAGAGGAGAAGCGTGGAAAAAGGAGAGGTTGGAGCTGAACAGAGCTGGGTTTGAATCCCACTTATTAGCTGGGTAACTGTGGTGAGTCCTTAAAGCCTCTGGGCCTGGTTTCTTCATATTTACCTTGGGTAGTGTCATGGTTAGGAGCATAGGCTCAGAGCCCACTGCTTGTGTTTGAATACAGGGTCCTTCTCTTACTAGCGATGTGATAGTGGATAGGTGACTCTGTCCACGTGCACCAGTGCCCTCAGAGTCTGTAAAATGTAAATAATGATCTCTACCTCATAGTATTGTAATGACATTAAGCTAATTAATGTATGAAACTCTTAGATGTTTGTTGTCACTACCGCACAGGCTACTAGGAAGGCTGAGATGATGTTTGCATGAGGCCTTGTAAGTACTTGGTAAATGTTTCTTCTCATGTCAGTTCTTGTTTGTCCCTTTTCCACTGTCAAACCACCAGAGAAAAAGCTGCATCCCACAAAATTTTGATATGTTATATTTTCATTGTTATTCACTTCAAAATATCTTTAAATTTCCCTTTTGATTTCTTCTTTGACCCATGGAATATTTAGAAGAGTGTTTATTTTCCAAACATTGGGGGAATATCCAGCTATCTTTGTTATTGATTTCTTTTTTCTTTTTTTTTGAAAAGGAGTGTTGCTCTGTTTGTTGCCCACGCTGGAGTGCAGTGGTGTGATCTTGGCTCACTTCATCCTCCACCTCCAACCTCTTCTTTTTCTACCCTTCTTCTCTGCCTCCCTGTCTTGGCCTCAGTTCTAATCTCAGGAGGACTGGCTGTATCTGTAAGGCAGTCCTTGGGAAGGAGGGCCCAGGATACACAGATTACATTGATCCTGGGTTCAAGCAATTCTCCTCCCTCAGCCTCCCAAGTAGCTGGGACTACAGGCGCCACCACACCTGGCTAATTTTTGAATTTTTAGTACAGATGGCGTTTTGCCATGTTGGCCAGGCTGGTCTCAAACCCCTGACCTCTGGTGATCTGCCTGCTTTGGCCTCCCAAAGTGCTGAGATTACAGGCGTGAGCCACCGTGCCCAGCCTGTTATTGATTTCTAAGATAACATACTTTATATGATTTGAATCCTCTGAAATGTATTAAAACTTGTTTTGTGGTTCAGAATATAGTCTATCTTGACAAGTGTTTCATTTGCATTTAAAAAAACATTCTGTTTTTGGGTGCAGTATTCTATGACTGTTAAGTAGGTAAAGTTGGCTGATAGTATTGGTCAAGTCATCGGTACCCTTATAACTTTCTGTCTGCTTGTTCTATCAATTGTTAATAGAGGCTGGGCATGGTGACTCACGTGTATAACCTCAGCATTTTGGGAGGCTGAGGCGGGTGGATCACCTGAGGTCAGGAGTTTGAGACCATCCTGGCCAACATATAGTGAAACCCCATCTCTACTAAAATAATACAAAAATCAACTGGACGTAGTGGTGCATGCCTATAGTCCCAGCTACTTGGGAAGCTGAAGCAGGAGAATTACTTGAACTTGGGAGGCAGAGGTTACAGTAAGCCAAGATTGCACCACTGTACTCTAGCCTGAGTGACAGAGCAAGACTCTGTCTTTAAAAAAAAATGTTGGGGAACTGGGGAGGGATAGCCTGTGGAGAAATACCAAATGTGGGTGAAGGGGAGGAAGGCAGCAAAACACACTGCCATGTGTGTACCTATGCAACTATCTTGCATGTTCTGCACATGTACCCCAAAACCTAAGATGCAATAAAAAAAATAAAAAAAGTTAGTAGAGTTGTTAACATTTCTAGCTATAATCGTAGATACATTTTTCTCCTTGTATTTCTGTCTGTTTCGCCTCATATATTTTAAGCTCTTTTATTATATGCTTAGACGCTTGGGATTGAACTCTTAATCATTATGAAATGAACTCCTTTGTCCCTGGTAATATGCTTTGCTCGGAAACCTACTTTTTCTGACATAAATCAGCCACTTTTGATTTAATGTAGCTTCCTTTTGATTAGCATTAGTTTGGTATATCTTTTTCCATCCTTTTGTGTTTAACTTATTTGTGTCTTTATATGTAAAAGTGGGTTTCTTAAAGGTAGCATATAATTGGGTCTTACTTAAAAAAATTCTGTCCGACAATCTGCCTTTTTATTGAGATGTCGAAGTCATTTACATTTAATGTTAGTATTGATTATGGTTGGATTTAACTTTACCATCTTGTTATTTTTTTTTTCTACTTGTTACATCTATTCCCTTTTTCTTTTGTTTTTCCCTGTCTTTTGTGTTATGTATTTTGTATAATTTAATCTTATTTTCTTTGTTGGCTTATTATCTGTTTGTGGTATTACTTTCACGGTTGCTCTGTGATCATTGTATATACTTTTAACTTATCACATTCTACCTTTAAGTGATATTATACCACTTCATGTATAGAATCAGAATCTTACAACATTATATTTCCATTGTGTCCTCCTAGATATTATGCTATTGTGATATATTCTACTTGCATGTATGTTAAAAACTTACCATATGTGGTTATTACTTTTATTTAAACAAGTATCTTTTAAGTATATTTAAATAATAATAAGAAAAGACTCTTATATTAACCTACGTAGTTACTATTTTTAATGTTCTTTGTTCTTTTGTATAGATCCAGATTTCTACCAAATACCATTTCCTTCTGCCTGAAGTATTTCCTTTAACCTTTCCTATATTTCAGGTCTGTTAGTGACGAATTATTTCAGCTTTTCTATGTCTGAAAACCATTTTATCTTATTATTATTATTTTTTAAGAGACAGGGTTTCTCTGTGTTGGTCAGGCTGGTCTCGAACTCCCGACCTCAGTTGATCCACCCACCTTGGCCTCTCAAAGTGCTGAGATGACAGGCGTCAGCCACTGCACCCAGCCTTTTATCTTCATTTTTGAAAGAAATTTTTGCTGGATATAAAATTCTAGGTTAACAGTTTTTTTTTTTTTTTCTTCTCACTATTTTAAAAATGTTGCATTCAAGTCAGTTTTCTGGCTTGCATTGTTTTCAACAAGAAGTTTGTTAACATTTTTATTTATTTATTTATTTAAAGACAGGGTTTCACTATGTTGGCCAGGCTGGTAACTCCTGACCTCAGGTGATTCACCCACCTTGGCCTCCCAAAGTATTGGGATTACAGGTGTGAGCCACTATGCCCTGCTGGAGATCTCTTTTTAATCAATATTATTGTTGTATATGTATATTTTGGCGGGGGGGGTGTGGAGTCTTGCTCTTTTGCCCAAACTGGAGTACAGTGGCGCAGTCTCGTCTCACTGCAACCTCTGCCTCCCCGGTTCAAGTGATTCTCCTGCCTCAGCCTCCTGAGTAGCTGGGATTACAGGTACGCACCACCACGCCCAGATAATTTTTGTATTTTTTTTTTTTTTTAGTAGAAATAGGGTTTTCCCATGTTGGTCAGGCTGGTCTTGAACTCCTGACCTTGTGATCCACCCGCCTCGGCCTCCCAAAGTGCTGGGATTCCAGTGAGCCACTGCACCTGGCCAATGTACAATTTTTATATGTCAGAATGCACATGTTTTACATGTATAGTTAAATGACAAATTAGAAAAAAAAAATTTTTTTTTTTGAGACAAGGTTTTACTTTGTCACCCAGTCTGGAGTACATTGGCATGAACATGGCTCACTACAACCTTGACCTCCTGGGCTCAAGTAATTCTCCCACCTTGGCCTCCCAAGTAGCCAGGACTACAGGCACGTGCCACCACACCTTGCTTATTTTTATGTTTTGTAGAGACCGGGGTTTGCCATGTTGCCCAGACTGGTCCCAAACTCCTCAGCTTAAGTGATCCTTCTGCCTTGGCCTTCCGAAGTGTGGGATTACAAGTGTGAGCCACTGCACCCAGCCACAATTCCATGACAAATTTATACCTCTACAATCAATTTATAGAACATTTCCATCACCCCAAAAAGTTCCCTTGGTCTCCCTCCCTAGGCAACCACCCATCATTCTCTACCCATCACCTCTGCCCTAGGCAACCTCTGATTTGTTTTCCATCATTATAGTTTAGATTTGTCTTCCCATGGTTTCATATAAATGGGATCATACAGTATGAACTCTTGTGTCTGGCTTCTTTTGCTTAGCGTGCTGAGTAGTTTGCTCTTTTTTATTTCTGAATTACATTTCCTTGGAGACTTTTTACTTTAAGAGACAAAGTCTTTCTTTTTTCTTTTTTTAGATGGAGTTTTGCTCTTGTTGCCCAGGTTGGAGTGCAATAGCATGATCTCAGCTCACTGCAACTGCTACTTCCCAGGTTCAGGCAATTCTCCTGCCTCAGCCTCCTGAGTAGCTGGGATTATAGGCATATACCACCATGCCCAGCTAATTTATTTTTATTTTTTATTTTTTAGCAGAGACAGGGTTTCTTCATGTTGGTAAGGCTGGTCCCAAACTCCTGACCTCAAATGATCTGCCCATCTTGGCCTCCCAAAGTGCTGGGATTATAGGCGTGAGCCACCATGCTTGGCCAGGATGAGCTCTTTCTGTGTTGCCTGGGCTGAATTTGAACTCAAACAATCCTCCTACCTCAGCCTCCAGAGTAGCTGGGACTACAGGTATGAGCCACTGCAACTGACTCTTGGTGATCTTTTTAAAATAACTCTCATGAAGGGCCTATTATATGCTGGCACTGGGCTAGGCGTATCACATACTTTATCTGTAATTCTTTTTTTTTGAGAGAATTTTACTCTGTTGCCCAGGTTAGAACACAGTCTTGTGAACACAGCTCACTACAGCCTCAGTTTCCTGGGCTCAAGCAATCCTCCCATCTCAGTGACCCCAGTAGCTAAGGCTACAGGCATACACCAGCATGCCTGGCTATTTCTTCAATTTTTTTGTAGAGATGAGGTCTTGCCACATTGCCCAGGCTGGTCTTGAACTTCTGGACTCAAGTGATCCTCTAACTTGGCCTCCCAAAGTGCTAGGATTATAAGTGTGAACTACTGTGCCCCAGCCTGTAATTCTTAACAATATTCCTGGCCAGGCACAGTGGCTCATGCCTGTAATCCTAGCACTTTGGGAGGCCGAGGTGGGTGGATCAGCTGAGGTCAGGAGTTCAGGACCAGCCTGGCCATCATGGTGAAACCCCATCTTAAAAAAAAAACAAAAACATTCCTTTGAGGGCTCTAATGATTATATGACTTGTCTAAGGTTCTATGACCAGTCATCCATTTATCTTTTATTGCTAACCCTGCCCCAATTTGAAAGCCCAGTTTGAAGGCCAGGATAAATATGATCTGTTAATGGAATGGTATGAGCTTTGAATCCGATAGACCTGAGTTCAAATCCAAGCTTTAACCTTTTCTGAGTGACTTGAGCTCTCTGCTTTCATCTTATCTTTTAAAGTATGTTAATCACCCTTCTCCAGATGTAATGAATGCAAAGGCTCTAGCATAGGGCCTGGCACCCAGGGACGTTACATGGAGGCCACAGAGTTTTTTCTTTCTTTCTTTTTTTTTTTTTTAATTTCCCCATGTTCCAGACCATCCAGGTAGGTTCCTGTGATAAGCTTCAACGGCTACCACCATAATCATCATCTATGCAAAGATCCATAAGTATGTTTTCCTGTGCTTTCCCTAACAGAATACTCTCCTTTGGAAAGATACAATGAATTCCAGATCAAATCATATCCTCTACAAGACTTTAGCTCCTTGAAACTTCTGCATCTCCAAAAAGCCTGGGAGCTACAGGGGACAAGCTTCAGCAGGAAGATCAGAACCTCAGGAGACAGTGTCCCCAAGATGCTGGGCCCAAAGATCAAGTAAGCTCAACCCTTGCCAGATAGAGGGGTCCAGATTGTGGTTGCAAAGGGAGAGAATACTTACCTGGCAGAATGTCAGGGATGCTGGGGAGGGGACAAAGATGGAGGACACAGGTCAATCCCAAAGGGTTGTGCATGAGGCAGCCTAGAGATATCCTGGGTCTGAGAGCCAGGACCCACATTCTTCACCTGTAACATGAAAGGGCACTTCAGGCATTTAGCCACTTCTTTTCTCAGGGCCTCAGTAACCCATTTAAGGAGGAAGGGGCTGGACAGATCTTCTGGCTCTGACATTCTGTCGGTCTGTGTGTTGCTCGGCCCTTTTGATTTTGAGCTGCTTCAGAAAATTCTATCCATCTAAGAAAGGCAGTTATAGGGCAGTAGATAAGAGCCTGGTCAATCCTGGCTTGACCACTTATTTTAGCTCTGTGTCCCGAGGCAAAGGACTTGACCTCTCTAAGCTGTATTTCTTGGTAGATAATAGCATCTAAGTCTTGGGGTTGTTGCAAGCCTATAATGATAATTATCGTTAACATTTACAGAATACTTTTTTAGCTGGGCATATTGGCACATACCTGTAGTCCCAGCTACTCAGGAGGCTGACGCAGGAGGATTGCTTGGGTCTAGGAGGTTGAGGCAGCAATGAGCTGTGATTATGTCACTGTACCCCAGCCTGGGCAACAGAGCAAAACTCTGTGTCTTAAAACACACACACACACACACACACACACCAGGCTGGGCACAGTGGCTTACACCTGTAATCTCAGCATTTTGGGAGGCTGAGGCGGGTGGATCACCTGAGGTCAGGAGTTTGAGACCAGCCTGATCAAGAGGCAGAACCCCATCTCTACTAAAACTACAAAAATTAGCTGGGCATGATGGTGCTCACCTGTAATTCCAGCTACTTGAGAGGCTGAGGCAGGAGAACTGCTTGAATCCAGGAGGCAGAGGTTGCAGTGAGCCAAGATCATGCTACTTGCACTCCAGCCTGGGTGACAAAAGCAAAACTCCATCTCAAAAAAAAAAAAAAAGAGAAAGAAATTCCTTCCTTTTGGCTGTGCATGGCGGCTCACGACTGTAATAGCAGCTCTGGGAGGCTGAGGTGGCCAGATCACTTGAGGCCAGGAGTTTGAGACCAGCCTAGGCAACCCTGTCTCTACTAAAAATACAAAAATTATCCAGGCATGGTGGTGGGCGCCTGTATTTCCAACTACTTGGTAGGCTGAGGCATAAGTATTGCTTGAACCCCAGAAGTAGAGGTTTCAGTGAGCAGAGATCCCATCAGTGCACTTCAGTGCCTGGGCAACAGAGTGAGATTCCATCTCAAAAAAAAAAAAAAGAAAGAGGAAAAAGAAGAAATTCTTTCCTCATGCTGAGCATGAGGGGGCCATTCTGGACTGGACTTCCCACCCATTAGGCCTGACTTGCTTGCATGGGATCATCAGCTCCTGCCTGTGGGGGGAGGGAACAGCCCTCAGGTGTTTAAGAGGAGGGAGGGCCTGTTTCATCTTCCTCTCCCGTCTCCTTTTTTGCACCCTCCAATTCCTGACAGTAGGAGTCGGTCCCTCCCAGGCTTGATTTTGAGTTTTCTCACCTTTTGGGGAGCTGTGAATTCCCCAGGTAGGGGAGCCCTCCATGTGCAGAAGAGCGAGGGCTGATTAACAAGGGCCTCAGGAGCAGACTGTTACAGACAGGCTCTCTAACAAGCTGTCACATTTCAGATCCAAGCCTACTCAGACCATCAAATGCAACATGATCAATACCAACCTTGGTGAGCTCCCCAAAGAGGCTGTAGTGGGGGCCTACGTGAAGGTGCATACCGTGGAGCAGGGAGAAATTTTGGTGAGTGTGCCAAGACTTTGTTCACCATGGAGCATGAATGGGCTGGAATGTTAACTAATAAGAGTAAAGGTTTAAAAACACTTTCCTCATAGCCAGATGTGGTGGCACATGCCTGTAATCCCAGCTACTCAAGAGGCTGAAACAGGAGAATAGCTTGAACCCTGGAAGTGGAGGTGGCAGTGAGCCGAGATCATGCCATTGCACTCCAGCCTGGGTAACAAGAGCAAAACTCTGTCTCAAAAAACAAAACAAAACAAACTTCCTCCATATTTGATGATATTAAGGAATTGTGTTGATTTGTAAAGATGTGATAAAAATAGCCTGGGTGCAGTGGCTCACACCTGTAATCCCAGCACTATGGAGGCCGAGGCGGGCAGATCACAAGGTCAGGAGTTTGAGACCAGCCTGGCCAATATGGTGAAACCCTGTCTCTACTAAAAATACAAAAATTAGCTGGGCATGGTGGTGTGTGCCTGTAATCCCAGCCATTTTGGGAGGCTGAGGCATGAGAATTGCTTGAACCTGGGAGGTGGGGGTTGCAGTGAGCTGAGATTGTGCCACTGCACTCCAGCCTGGGCAACAGAGTGAGACTTTCTCTTGAGAAAAAAAAAAAAGATACAGTAAGAATATTGTGGCTGTCGGGCATGGTGGCGTGTGCCTGTAGTCCCCGATACTCAGAAGGCTGAGGTGGGAGGATCACTTGAGCCCAGGAGTTCTGGGCTGTAGTGTGCTATGCTGATCGGATGTCCACACTAAGTTTGGCATCAATATGGTGACCTCCCGGGAGCGGGGGACCACCAGGTTGCCTAAGGAGGGGTGAACCGGCCCAGGTTGGAAACAGAGCAGGTCAAAACTCCCGTGCTGATCAGTAGTGGGATTGTGCCTGTGAATAGCCACTGCACATGTAGCCTGGGCAACATAGCAAGATCCTATCTCTTTAAAAAAAAAAAAAAGAGAATTGTGGCTATGTTTTTTAAAAAGAGTCCTTATATTTAGGAGATACATGTCAAAATATTTATAGATTAAATGATGTGATATCTAGACTTGGCTTTAAATGAATCCAGGAACAAGGCAAAGATGTTCCCTCTTACCACTCCTGTTCAGCATTGTACTGAAAGTCTTACCTAGGCCATTCAAGAAAAGGAAATAAAAGGTATACAGATTGAGATGGAAGAAATAAAACTGTCTTTGTTTGCAGATAACATTATTGTCTATGTAGATAATTCCAAACAATCTTTTTTAAAAAGAAAAACCTCTTGAGATTATAGCAAGGTCATAGGATATAAGATTAATATACAAGAGTCAATTGCTTTCCTTATACCAGCAATGAACAATTGGAATTTGAGGTTAAAAAACACAATACTGGCTGGGTGCGGTAGTCCCAGCACTTTGGGAGGCAGAAGCTGGCAGATCACTTGAGGTCAGGAGTTTGAGACCAGCCTGGCCACCATGGTGAAATCCATCTCTGCTAAAAATAGAAAAATTAGCTGGGACTGGGCATGGTGGCTCATGCCTGTAATCCCATCACTTTGGGAGGCCGAGGTGAGTGGATCACCTGAGGTCAGGACCAGCCTGGCCAACATGGTGAAACCCCCGTCTCTGCTAATAATACAAAAATTAGCCAGGTGTGGTGGCGCACACCTGTAATCCCAACTACTTGGGAGACTGAGGCAGGAGAATCACTTCAAACTGGGAGACGGAGGTTGTAGTGAGCTGAGATTGCACCATTGCATTCCAGCCTGGACGACAAGAGCGAAACTCCTTCTCAAAAAATTAAATAAATTACGTAATATTTTTACAGAATCTGATTTCTAAAGAATTCAGTTTCTAAGGAGTCCATTAGGAAAAGGCTAAATATTGCATGATTCCAATTCTAGGACATTCTGGAAAAGAAAAACACTATAGAGATAGTAAAATTATCAGTGGTTGTGAGAGTTTTGGAGTTCAGGGGATGGGATGAATAGTGAAGCACAGGGGACTTTTAGGGGAGTAAAATTATTCTGTATGGCACTGTAATGGTGGCTACAAAAGCATTTGTCAAAACCCATATAATTTTACAGCACAAAGAGTGAATCTTAATGTATGCAATTTGTTAAAAAGAAAAATAAATCACCTAGGAGGTCAGTGGATCCTAGGAAGGAATACAAACTATGACAAGATAATCTATTACAAATGTATGAAACAATCTCTGTGAAGGAGTTGGGGGGAAAAGATGCTGACCTGAGTAACTATGGAAATGAGTGGAGTTGGAAAGACTAAAGCAAAAGCGGTTGTGCTTGAGCACTGTACCCTACTGATAAAGTTGTTTCTCATGAGGGCATGGATTAGCAGTACTTATACTACTATACATGCGCACAGTGTTAACATTGAAACCAATCAGTTCAGTAAATGGATGGCAGAGGGTGGGAGCCAGGTTTTTCACTACTTAAGCAGGAATGTGTAGAAAGGGGAGGAGCCTAGAATGCTCCATGTGGTAATGGATTAGAATTGAAAACATCAGTAAACACTCAAGTTTTGCTCAATATGTACTTACAGATAATTATATATAGAAATATTTCTAGGTGTGGGTAGAAGCATACAACTGTTTCGCTCTGTTAGTTAAGAGGACCTAAAAGAAACGATACCCTTCTAGCAATAAGCACACTTAACACTTGGATCTTGGTTTCTTTCTTTTTTTTTTTGAGACAGAGTCTTGCTCTGTCATCCAGGTTGGAGTGCAGTGGTACCATCTCAACTCACTGCAACCTCCATCTCCCAGGTTAGGGTGATTCTCCTGCCTCAGCCTCCCAAGTAGGTGGGATTACAGATGTCTACCACCACACCAGGCTAATTTTTATAATTTTGTAGAGACAGGGTTTGCCATGTTGGCTAGGCTGATCTTGAACTCCTGACCTCAAGTGATTTACCTACCTCGGCCTCCCAAAGTGTTGGGATTACAGGCGTGAGCGACCATGCCTGGCCTTCTTTTATACTTTTTAAGAGACAGGCTCTTGCTCTGTCACTTAGGCTAGAGGGCAGTGGTGTGATCATGGCTTACTGCAGCCTTGAACTCCTGGGCTAAAGCAATCCTCTCACTTTAGTATTCTGAATAGCTGAGACTATGGGCATGTGCTGCCATGTCCAAATAATTTTTTAATTTTTTTGTAGAGGCAGGGTCTCACTATGTTGCCCAGGCTGTTCTTGAACTCCTGGCTTCAAGCAATCCTCCCACTTTGACCTCCCAAAGGGCTGGGATTATAGATATGAACCATTATGCTTGACCTCCGTACTGTTTTTCATAATGGCTGTACTAATTTATATTCCCACCAATAATGTATAAGGGTTCCCTTTTTCCCCACATCTTTGCCAACATTTGTCATATTTTGTCTTTTTGATAACAACCATTTTAACAGGTATGACCCTATGTCATTGGATCTTCAATCTGCATTTCCATGATGATCAGTGATGTTGAGCATTTTTTCATATACCCATTGGTCATTTGTATGTCTTTCTTTGAGAAATGTCTATTCAGGGTTTCTGCCCATTTCTTAACCAGGCTATTTGATTTCTCAAGACGGAGTTGTTTAAGCTCATTATACATTTTGGATATTTTCCCCTTATCAGATTTATGGCTTACAAATATTTTCTACCATTCTTTAGATTGTCTTTTCACTTTGTTGGTTTTTTCCTTTGCTACGCAGAAGCTTTTTAGTTTGATGCAATCTCATTTGTCTATTTTTGCTTTTGTTGCCTGTGTTTTTGGGGTCATACCCAAAAAAACCATGGCCCAGGCCAATGTCAAGAAGCCAGATCATGAGTTGTAATACAATTTCCCAATAAAAGGAACAAGAGTTCTTTGGAAGAATGGTGTAATCTAGGACTAGGACAGGAAATACACAGGATGAGTCTAGAACATATTTATTATAATGCCAGAAAGTAAGGAAGAGCTGGGGGAGGGGCAGGAACTACTTTATTAATATGGGAGCATATCCAAGGGACATGGGGGCCAACTACAAGATCTCCCAATGCCAAAGCTGGAACAATTTGAACAACAAAATAAAGCAGTATTGGATTATAACCAAAAGTACAAAATAAGTATGAGTGCAATATGAGTGCATATTGATATAAATGAATGAATAATAAATTAATAAATGGAGGAGAAGAGACAAATCTCCCTGAAGAATAAATTTCAAGCAATTTATGTAGATACTCTGTCTTAAAGAAGAGAGCCTAACTCTCTACTTCTTAAATGTGGGCCATGCATAGGACTTCCTTCCAAAGAGTACAGTATGGCAAGAGGGGAATGAAGTACTTTACAGTGGAGAAATCTAAAAAACACAGCCAGGTCATCAAGGCCAACACCAGCAGTAAAACATTGTGTTGACAGATTGTCCCTTGATAGGATGTGATGAAAATGTCACTCGTCCTCTGTGGCCATCCTCTCAATATCTTATAACTCCAGTCTAATCATGAGAAAAGCATGAGACAAATTCTAACATTGTGGCATCCCACAAAATACTCAATGAGTGTTGGGTGTGGTGGCTCATGCCTGTAATCTAAGCACTTTGGGAAGCTGAGGTGGGCAGATCACAAGGTCAGGAGTTCAAGACCAGCCTGGCCAATATGGTGAAACCCCGTCTCTACTGAAAATATAAAAATTAGCTGAGTGTGACAGTGCAGGTCTGTAGTCCCAGCTACTCAGGAGGCTGAGGCAGAAGAATCACTTGAACCCCAGAGGCGGAGGTTGCAGTGAGCCAAGATTGCACCACTGCACAACAGAGTGAGATTCCGTCTCAAAAAAAACTCAATGAGTACCCTAAAAACTGCCAAGGTCATCAAAAATGGCCTGAGAAAATGCCACAGCTAAGGGAAGTCTAAAGAACCCTCTTATCAAATATAATGTTGTACTGGATAACATGGTGGAATAGAAAAAGGGCATTAGGTGAAACAGGAAATCTAAGCAACTCATTGATTTTAACTAACAGTAATGTATCGGTCATTAATTGTAACAAAGACATACC